CCTTTGACTGTATAATTTCCCCTATCTTCAAGTTCACAGATTCTCTGCTTGATCAAGTCTGCTATTGAAGCTTTCTATTGCATTTTTTATTTTAGTCATTGTGCTCTTCAGTCCTAGAATTTCTATTTGTTTGTTTTCCCCAGAATTATCTCTTCTTTGAACTTCTCTTTTTGTTTATGTATTGTTTTTCATTGAGTTGTCTATCTCTATTCTCTTATAGCTTGCTGAACTTCTTTAAGACAATTATTTTGAATTCTTTGTCAAGAAGTTCAGAGGTCCCTATTTCTTTGGGCTCAGTTACTGGAAATTTATTATGTTCTTTTGATGGTGTCATGTTTCTTTGATTTTTCATGTTCTTTGTAATCTTGAATTGATGTCAATGCATGTGAAAGAACAGTCACTTCTTCCAGAATTTATGGGTTAGTTTCAGTAGAAAAAAACATTCGCCTATGGGTGAATGTGAGGATGCAATGACTCTGGTTCTGGGGGAGCATAGTTGTATGGTCTTCAGGTAGATCCATCAGCTCATGTCAGCATTAGTGAAGACTGCAAGTTGCAAACATTCTTAGCACTAACATCACAGGTGTCCCTGGAAGTGGCAAGGGCTGCTGTAGTTCTCATTGGCAAAGCCTTCTGGGATATTCCTGCTTTCCTTTTTCCCCATGGGGAAGTCCTGGCCAAGGAGATCCCTCGTGGTGCTGGGCCTTGAGGCATAAGCCCAGTGGCACTGGGACAGGAGAGTGGCTCTGGCCCCAAGGGGGATTGAGTGGCAGCTCTTTCTATAAGGAGGCACAGCAGCATGGGCATAGGTAGCTCTGTCATCTGGAATCAGTGATGGCAAAGTCTGTAGAGATCCTCAGTTTCAAAAGCTGCAGGTGTCCATGATGGTGAGGGCTATTGGGGTCTTCCTGCTCTCCTTTCCCCATATTGGGGGTGATGGCCAAGAGGATTCCTTTTGGTGCAGAACTGTGCCAGACTGAAGTCTGGCGTGACACACATAAAATTGCTTCCTATGTTTTCTTATGGACCATCTTGGGTTTATTATTTTTCATTTGTTTTTTGGTGTGTGATTTTTGGGAGTGGTGTTGAGGGGATATGATTTTTTATTGAGCTTATCTGCCAGAGTAGAAATAATGTCTGTACAAAATTAAATGTTTGTTACCATAACTTCTGCATCACAATTGAAATCGAAACAGATTTTTTTTTAAAAAAAACAGTCAACTCAATCAAAACCCACTGCTTCAGAATCAATGGCTTCTTTGAAGCCATAGTAATATTTAATATGGTTAAGACTAGAATACAGAAATTTGATTGGTTAGAAAGCTAAACTTTCAAGCTGCTCAAGTTAAATTACAAAAAGGAAAAATTGTGTTTTTCACAGAGATACAGTTTACTGGAATCACCAACACTGGACAGTTGTTAGAGAATTTGGAGTCCTGAGATAATAGAAATCCAGGCATCCTTTAGACTGTCTTCTGTTGTCCTTTCCTCCCAATTACAGATTTGTGGATGTGTAGAATGACATCACTACCAGCAACTGTAGCCTTGAATAGCCTTGTATCTCCATAAACAGCAAGTTGCAAATGACAAGGGGTAATACACTTTATCTTTAAGTTTTTAATGCACTTCCTGTCAATTCAAGTACTTTTATGGTGAGGTACTCCAGGTTGCTCTGTTGTACACAGCAACAGTCACACCCACACGTCCTAGATTTCAGATGTGGATAAAGACTGCCCACTGGAAACTGCAAGCTGGCTCTCTACTAGTGGAAAATCTGAGTTCTTCCCAGCCTTACCACCAGCCAATTCTGCTGAAGCTCAAACAAGCAAGGTAGAGAAAAAACTAGTTAGACACCCACAAGATCCCACCGACTACTCTGTTGCACTGGGTTTCAAACTGGTAAGGCCATCTTGGTTTTTGTTTTCCCCTGGTGGCTGCAGCTTCTTCATTGTACTCCAAAACTCTCTCACAGTTATTTTTATCAGTTAGTAATTGTTAATTTATTGTTTTGGTGGAGGGATGAAGGCTGAGACCTCCTACTACTCCATCTTGATGTCACTTACTTTAAAACATAAATTTTACCATAAGTGGTCATCAAGTCAATGATGCAAAGAATGATATTATTTGATCAATCATACTACACGTGTGACTCCATTTCCAAAACCCTGTTTAGATCCAAGTCTTCTTCCCCAAACTCCAAGGAGACTATTCTCACACCTGCAGAGTCTCCTTAAAAGCAACATGTCCAAAAACAAAAGTTATGATCTTATCTCTCAAAGTTGTTCCTCTTTGATAATTCTAAAACATAGTCCCCAGTTTTCCCATCTACCCATCTGAACGTATCAGCGGTCACCATTGACTCTTCTCTGTCTCTTAATGCCCCATTCTAATACAATATCAAGTCTAGCCCATTTCATCTTTTAGATATCTCTTGAACCCATCTCCACTACCACTGCCTTCATCCAGGCCTCCTTTACCTCTGAATTGGACCACAGAAATAGCCTCCTAACTTGCTCCATGTCTCCACCCCTGCCTCTCTCCAGGTTCCTTCCCAAAGTAGTCTTTACACATTTAATCTTGATTCTTTTGTTAAAGTTCCAAATATTTAATGGTTTACAAGAAACCCCATGGCCTACCCTACCTACTCCTCTGGCATCTTTTATTGCCACTGGACTCCTAGCTCTCTTCACTCCAGTCATTCTGTATCTCTTTCAGTTCTTCAGACACCCATACCACTTCCCATATCTGGGCCTTTGCACAAGCTGTCTCCTTCCCACACATGCCATCCCTCTCTGTCTATCTTGCTAACTCCTGTTCATCCTTCAGGGCTCAACTTAAAGAATAGTTTCTCAGGGATGCTTCCTTGACTTTCTAGAATAGATTGTGGTATTAGGTCATGTGATCCCACAGCACTTTGTACTTTTTTTTTATTATTGAATGTATTCATGATTATTTGTATAATGTTTATCTTTCCTAGTTGAATGCATGTACCATAAGGACATTAATGTATCCACGTCATTCATGGCTGTATGCCCTGTGCCTTGCCAATACCCAACACACAGTCAAGTCTCTATACATAGCTGCCTACTGAGTGACTAAAAAACAGTTCTTTTTTTTTTTTTTGAAGTGTTTTCAGGACTATTTTTATTTTATGTAGTGTTTATTTTTTCATTTTTTTGTTACATTTATGGTTCACTCATTTTTTTTCTTTTTAAAAATATTAATTAATTTATTTTTGTTACAGATGTTTCTACTTTTCCCCCCACTGATTCCCCCTTTCCCCTCCCTCCCCACCCTGTCCCCAGCTTTGTTGTCCATGTCCATTTGTTCATGCATACATGCATATAAGTTGTGTGGTTTATCTCTCCTCCACCAACCCCTCTTCTGGGAATTGTCAGTCTGTACCCCACTTCCACGTCTCTGGGACTACCCCATTACTCAGATTGTATGTTCATTATATTCCACAAATAAGTAAGATCATGTGATATTTGTCTTTCTCTGCTGGTTTGTTTTGCTTAGGATAATACTCTCCAGGTCCCTCCATGTTGTCTCAAAGGATAAGAGATCTTTCTTTCTTACAGCTGCATAGTATTCCATTGTGTATATGTACCACAGCTTTTTTATCATTCATCTACTGATGGACATTTGGGCCATTTCCAGATCTTAGCTATTGTAAATAGTGCTGCTACAAACATGGGAGTACATATATTCTTTCTGATTGGTGTTTCAGGCTTCTTAGGGTATATTCCTAGAAGTGGGATCACTGGGTCAAATGGCAGTTCAATTTTTAATTTGCTGAGGAAACACCATATTGTTTTCCATAGTGGCTGCACCAGTCTGCATTCCCACCAGCAGTGTACTAGAGTCCCCTTTTCTCCACACCCTTGCCAACACTTGTTGTTTGATGATTTGTTGATGGTGACCATTCTGACAGGTGTGAGGTGATACCTCATTGTTGTTTTAATTTGCATCTCTCTGATGATTAGTGATGTTGAGCATTTCTTCATATGTCTCTTAGCCATTTGTATGTCCTTTTCCGAGAGGTGTCTATTTAGATCCTCTGCCCATCTTTTAATTGGGTTCTTTGTCTTCCTTTTGTTGAGTTGTATGAGCACTCTATATATATTGGAAATTAACCCCTTATCTGATATATCATTGGCAATTATGCTCTTCCATACAGTGGGTTGCCTTCCCGTTTTGATGATTGTATCTTTTGCTGTGCAGAAGCTTTTGAGTTTGATGTAGTCCCATGTGTTCATTTTCTCCTTTGTTTCTGTTGCCTTAGGTGATGTGTCAGTGAAAATTCCACTGTGTACGATGTCTGAAATTTTGTTGCCTACATTTTCTTCTAGGATTTTTATAGATTCATGAGTCACATTTAAGTCTTTTATCCATTTTGAGTTTATTCTTCAGTATGGTGTAAGTTGACTATCCAGTTTCATTTTTTTGCTTGTAGCTGTCCAATTTTACCAATACCATTTATTAAAGAGGCTGTCTTTACTGCACTGTATGCTCTTGCCACCTTTGTCAAATATCAATTGAGCATATTGTCTTAAAAACAGTTCTTCCAAGTTAAGGATTCAGTTTTAATACTAATAGTCCATCATATTTATGCTTTTGTTAAGCCTTTGACCTTTATTTTCCATATTACAAAGATTTTTATGTTCATACTATATTTCCCTCTTCCCAGTAATGTGTCATAAGTTGATGGATTTTTATTGGGTGAGGCCCAGGTAATCTCCCTGTTTATAACTCTGACCTTTCTGTGAGCAAACACACAAAGCGAACTTTGGTTTATCTCCTACCATAATGTAGTTGCTTATTACTGGCAAACAGACTGTATTCTATGGCCCATGTGACCAGTGGGGTATGACCAGAAAGGAACGTGTGGAAGAGTGGACCGAGAGTCCCAGCTAAAGGCTGTCCAGCTGGAGTTCCTGTCTCCCTAAAAGCCCAAAGTAACTGAGCACAAGGAGTATGGTTCTGAGGTGAGCGAGGTCATGAAGACACCACTGTTGGGTTTGGCTTTGTTGTCACTGCTCCTCTGTCCAGAGCTGATGTATTTGACCACCCAACTGAGTCAGAACTGCAACAATGGCCGCTACGAGATCACCGTCCTGCTGATGGAGCAGTCAAACTTCCTAGAGTCCAAGGAGAACCTGAAAATGGCAGTGGATCAGGGAGTGGAAATAGTAAACAAGCGTCTAAATAATGACGGTAAGAATCCTCCTCCTCCCTGTTACAACCTCAGGGGTCAAAGGGTTGCTAAGTGAAGATCTTGTGTTCTTTGCCTTCTCTAAGGGCCTGTCCCACAGCCCCTTTTTATTTCAAGGCAGTAGATTCTCAAACGGAAGAATTTGAGTCCTACCACAGAGACTTCACTCATAATCCACCCTGCTCTGGGAATGGCCAGACTCAGGGAAGGCCAGGTGTTCACAGCAGTGAAATGTCCCGGATAGCATTTCAGTAAAAAACAAATTTATTACTCAGTTTCAGGGAGGCATCATATTTCCTCCTGCAGCTGTTCAGGGGCAAGATTTGGTCTGGACCTGAGATTTCATAGGGTTACTGGTCACGAAGGTGAATTAAGAGAGTAAAATTCATACAGATGCTGAATCTTTCTCTGGAATTTTTAATCCATCTGTTCACTCTTTACTTCTCTGGTGTCTATTATTATAAGACATAATCAATATAATAAATTACTAATCGAATTCAGTGTTGCAGCTTTTCACTGTATCATTTAATTATTAAAATAAACTTCACAACATTAGATAAAATATGTACGATAAGATATTATGTAAAATATGAGAAAAAATCACCACTGATAGTTTCTAGCAACCTGGATATTTATATGCTTCTCAGTTTCTTGTTTTTAAGAACATATTGGGATCACTATGGTATAGAAACAACTTTCTATTCTTCTGATTTCACTTTACATTTTTCTACAAATGACTTTCCTAGAGCCACATAATCTTTGTAGATCATGAGAATAGATGTGCAATATCTTTTGAAGTAGGTATTTCCCCCAGTCATTTAATAATTCTGTGTTGTTAGATATTTTATCATTTTTAATTTTGCATAATTATTTAAACATACCACACTAAACATTTTCATGTATATAGTTTTTTAAATTTTTTTTCAGACTAGAGTGATAGAAGTATAATTACTGAGTTAATGCTATTTGATGCATCGTAATGGTTATTTATGGTGTTGAGAAAGGTATGCCTTTATTTTCTCCATTTAAAATTGTCTGGTAGCTCTAGGAGGTTTGGCTCAGCGACTGGAGAGTCAGCCCGCAGACCAATGAGTCTTGGGTTTGATTCTGGTCAAGGACACGTACCTTGGATGTGGTGCATCCTGGTTGGAGTCGTGCGAGAAGCAACCAGTCGATGTGTCTCTTTAGGGTGGATGTTTCTCTCTCTCCCTCTCTCTCCTTCCCTCTCTCTCCCTTGCACTCTATCTGAAGATAAATAGAAAAATATCCTTGGGTGAGGATTAAAAAAATAAATTAAATAAAATTGTCTGGTAATAATACCAACAGATATTATACATCACATATGTATAATAAATTTTTTCTGTGCAATATATTTCTTCAATCCTGTCTGAGATAAGATTTAGATGTAATAGAGAAACTAGGGAGTCATCTAATAAAATCTCGTTTACCAAGCAGTGTGTAGTAATGGGAAGAAAGTTTGATTTAAAGTCTGAAGACCTGGACTGGAGCCCCTTTCTCAGAGCTTTCCCTCGTGATTTCTCTTCATTCTCTGAGCCTTGGTTTCCTTGTTTATTGAATACCTATTATGTGATAGGCAAGATATATAACCTTTTTTTCTTTATTGATGTTAGAGAGAGAGAGAGGAAGGGAAAGGGAGAGATAGAAACATCAATGAGAGAGAACATCGGTTGGCCGCCTCCTGCATGCCCCCCACTGGGGATTGGACCCACAACCTGGGCATGTGCTTTGACCAGGAATCAAACCAGTGACCTCTTGGTGCATGGGTTAACACTCAACCACTGAGCCACATCAGCCAGGCAAGATGTATAACCTTTTTAATCACAGCTCTGCAAGATTGGCATTGTTGACACTTTCACAGTGGAGGTTTAATAACTTTGCTGAACTCATACAGGTTGTCTGTTTGAAATGAGAGTCAAACTCATATCCATCTAACTCCAAAGCATATATCTTGCCACTGTAAGATCTTTACTCACCATTAACTAGCTTTCTCATTAAAATAAGGCAGTGGAACATTGTGCTGAGAAGTATAAATTTGGAATCAAACAAATCTTGGTTCATATTCTAGCCTTTTATCCAAACATTTATCACCAGTGACCTCAAGGAAATTATTTAAGTTTTCTGAGCCTCATTCCCTCACCTATAAAATTGCAATAGATACTAGTTACCTCATACGGATATAATGTGAATTAAAAGAGGAAATTCACATAAAGTACCTAAAATACTGACTGAAAATAGTAAGAACCGAATAAATGGCAGTTGTTTTGATTGTGGTCCCTTATTGTTGTTCTCTTTATTTCTTTAATCCTCTCCTGAGGACATGCTTAGAGAAAGGAAGGGAGAGGGAAGGAGAGAGAGAGAGAGAGAGAAAGAGAGAGAGAGAGAGAGAGAGAGAGAGAGAGAGAGAGAGAGAGAGAAACATCTATGTGAGACAGAAACATTAATCAGTTGTCTTCCGCACACTCCAACCAGGGATCTAACCCACAACCAAGGTGGGGATTGAACCCGCAACCCAGGTATGTGTCCTGACTGGGAATTGAAGCAGCAACCTTTTGGCGCATGGGACAGTGCCCAATCAACTAAGCCACTCCGGCCAGGCCACTTATTGTTGTTTCTGAGGATGCTAATGTTGTAGTAGTTGCTAGGCTGTTGCTGCTGTTAGGAGAACAAGTTACTAGTCATATAAAATAAACAATAAAGTGTATTGGTAAGATCTTGATCTCTGAACTCATATAACCTGAATTTGAATTCTTGTTTTATCATTCACTAATTAAATGACTTATTTATTCTCTCAAAGTTTCACTCATTTGTAAAATAGAGTTATTAATTGTGAAGTTGTTGAATGGATAAAACAAGTGGAGAATTTTAGAGTGAAGAAAGAATAAACAATGATGCCTGAATTTTTGCATTTGGTGATACATTTTGTTGAATGGGTGTTCATTCATAATAAATACAAGAAGTATAAATTGTGAGAGAAAATAGGTTTATGTTTTAGGCATATTGAGCATTATTATTTGTAAAAAATTCTAAGACACTAAACTGAAGGGCTAAACAGAAGAAAATTAAGAGTTCAAATGTTGTGGATGACATTCAAATAGAAGAGATCAATATTTTTTCCTAATACTTAGGAAAAATTTATGGATTTTTTTAAGAATAGATAGGAATTGAGGAAAAAAAAAGATTTCTTCAAAAAAATATTTCTTAGGACATTAAATCCTCAAAGATGTATGTTCCATGGCTAAGGGCACTGGGTCCATGCCCTCCATGTGCTGTCATGTCTTGGACTCAGGCACTATATCCAGATGCTTTGGTACAACCCCATCCTTAAATCCCTAGTTAGGGGTAGAGGGTTCTGAGACTACCCTAGATTTTATGGCATTCCACTCATTCTCCTAGGACTGAGATAACATGGTACGGTGAGAGCGCAGCCCAGAGAGGAATGAGAAATAATGCTTGCTGTAATTGCTTATTTTTAAAGTTAAGCTTTAGCCCGGAAGATGTGCTCAGTGGATTGAGTGTTGTCCCATGGGCTGAGACATCCCAGTTCAACTCCTAGTCAGGGCACATGCCCAGGTTTCAGGTTCAATCCCCGGTGGGGCACGTGCAGGAGCCAGCCGATTGATGTTTCTCTCACGTCGATGTTTCTATCTCTCTGTCCCTTCCTCTCTCTCTAAAAAAGTAATAAAACCTATTTTTTTTTTAAAGTTAAGCTTTGAATTGTCATTCCATGGAAGTCTTTCCATTGTCTGAAAAATATTCAGTATTTTCTTGAGAAATGATTGGGATTTGGGGTGATCAAAGGCATCACCCCAAATAAACAGTTCACATAACCATAAAATGTTGAGAGGAAGCACCATACAACCGTATGTTCTACAAAGTGGCTCTCAAACGTTCTGGCCTCAAGAACTCTTTACACTCTTAAAAATAATTGTGAAATCTGAAGAGCTTTGTTTATGCAGTTGCATTTATTGGCATTTCCTGTATTGGAAATGAAAATTGAGAGAAGTTTTAAATGTTTGCTCATTGATTCATTTAAATGACAACTATAGCCACTTTATCAGTTAATATAAAAAATATTTCTTAGTGAAGAAAACCCATATCTATCAAAACCAAAAAATAAATGTAGGTGGGAAAGTGGTATTGATTTACATTTCTGCAAATCTTTAATGTCAGGCTGAATAGGAAATGGCTGGATTCTCATGTCTGCTTCTGCACTTAATGTCTTGTAATAATACATTTTGTGTAGCCTCAGGAAAACTCCACTATATGCTCATGAGTGAAGGAGAGTGGAAAAGAGAAAAGAATGTCTTATAATTATGCAAATAGTTTTGACCTTCTAGACTTCCTGAAAGAGTCTCAGGGCATCTCAGGAGTCAGTGGCCCACACTTTGAGAACTGCTGTTCTACAGCATATTATTCAGGTTCTAGACTCAGAGTCCCTGGGTTCAAAATACAGCTCCATTTTTTGCCAGTGTATAACCCTAAGCAAGTTCATCAACTTCTCTAGACCTCCATTTTCTCATTTTTAAATTAGGAAGGTAAATTATTAATTAACCTCATAGGATTCTGGGGAGAGTTAAGTGAAATAATGCATGTGAAAATCCATAATCCCACACTAGGCATGTAGTAACGGAGATCATCCAGTTCTATTCTATGAATAAATGGGTGAGGAACTGGGGCCCCAGAGGTGGGATCACTTTTCCAAGATCACACTCAATAGACGTTGCTTCTCCTTCTCCCAGACCCTGTACAGTGTTTATACTCAGGTTTTGCCATGCCCATCATGGATTGCCTTCACCCTAGGATTTTTTATTGGAGCATCTTCAGTGTCCCTCATAGCAACAGGTGGTTGAAGGGGAAGAGCTAGCTTGCACATTAACAGTGTAAGCATGGCCGTCCTCCCCATGCCTCATGTTCATCGTGTGACTGTGCATTGGACTCCACTTTACTTCCTGACCTCTCTTGCTACTTTCGTGTTTTTTTTGTTTTTTTTTATCCTCACCCGAGGATATTTTTCCATTTTTTGTACAGATAGAGTGGGAGGGAGAGAGAGGAAGGGAGAGAGAGAGAGAAACATCGACGTGAAGGGACACATCGAGTGGCTGCCACCCACACGACCAACCAGGGCCAGGGACAAACTGCAACCGGAGTATGTGCCCTTAGCAGGAACCGAACCCGGGTCTCTCGGGACCGCAGGCCGACGCTCTAACCGCTGAGCCAAACCGGCCAGGGCCTCTCTTGCTACTTTCCACACCCTGATTTTCTGCTGCTCCCACACGCACTCTCCCATTTCACAGGTCCACCACAACCTCACACTACTATTCTCCTGGATCATGTTCTGTACATCCTCCCTGTTGTTATGAGAATTGAATAAGATAAAAGGTATAAAGAGCTGACACATGGGTCACTGATCCCACATCTTCCATTAACTTTCTCTGACTGGTTTCATGGCACTGATCTCTCCTATTTGGCTAGTCTTACCAAACAAAATACTGTCATCTCTTGTTTAGATCTCTCACTAAACAAAGTATCAGAATAAGTACCCTTGTCCTAGCAGTGGGGCTTAGTTGGTTGAGCATTGTCCCCTGCACCAAAAGGTCACCAGTTTGATTCCCGGTCAGGGCACATGCCCAGGCTACGGGTTCAATCCCCAGTCAGGGTGTATGTAAGAGGCAACCCATCGATGTTTCTCTCTCACATGGTGTTCCTCCTCCTCCTCGTCTTCCTTCTTCTCTCTCTCTCTCTCTCTCTCTCTCTCTCAAAACAACAAAAAAAAATTTTTTAGGTATTCTTGAATTCACAACAAAAGAAAAGACAAGAGGTAGAATGCTTCCTAGTTGGGCACATTTTGAGGTGGCTGTTGAAGTGCAAAGACTTTTCCATTTTCTGAAAGAACAGGTCTTTTTTTTTTTTTTAATATTCTAATTTGGACGCTCAGAACAACAATAACTTTTGTTGCTGATATTCTCTTTTAAAGGAATTAGAAGTTTCACAGACCTGGTTTTAATCCCATTGTACATGTGAGTGAACCAAGTAGAGAAATTAAAATGGCTTGTACAAAAACACATAGAAAGTCACTCATACTGTAAGGGCTTGGCAAAATTTAGGATATTTCTGTTTAGGAATCAGGGATTTGTCCTGAAACTTTTATTGGAAGGCAAACAACATGCAGGAGAAAGAGTCTGGTCAAATGGTTCTGCTGTCTCTTTATTGCCTTCTAAAGTGTGATGTTTAGTGCTACCCAGGGATATTAGCACTGATGATGCTCTTGCCTTCATCTGAAGATGATCCATTATCCAAAGATCCTGGGCCACAATGGGAAGGCACAGTTCACTTTGGCTGTCATCACTTTCCTGACATTCCCCAGACCCATATAGGAAATTTGCTGAGTCTAGAATTATGAAAAGAGGATGAAGAAAATGAAAATGTTCCAAACTGGATTGTGGGATGGTTGTACAAATATTATATATACATATATATTAAAAATCATTAACTTGTACACTTAAAATTAGTGATTTTTATGGCGGTAAATTATACCTCAATAAAATTGTTGAGAGACAGACAGAGAGAAAAAAGAAGTGACAGAGAATAACGTAATTATTCCTAGACCTGAAAACGGATCTCCATTTTTCTCCCAGGGCCATTTGGCAAAAGATAAATTTTGTGTCTGGTATGAACTACTGAAAAATAACACTAGTTTTCTCTTTTTCCTCATTTCTGGATAGCAGGCAGAAATGTGACTGTGATTGCTCACCCTGTCTATTCGGTGGGTATGTTTTATCAGTCAAACGACTGTCGGAGGAGCACCTGTGAAGGCCTGGACCTACTCAAAACAATTTTAGTAAGTATCTGCCTCTGTAGCTACAGCTCACACCCCCTATCAGGACAATCATGGTGTGAAACTTGGGCATCTGTTCATGAGCATCCCTCATGTCATCTCTAGTCATGCTGAGCGATGTAAACACAGGGCGTCCTAACTTTATGCCTACACATGTCCTAAGTGGTGAGGGCCTCGGGGAATCCAAGGAAGTGGGAAGAACCTCAGCTATGCATTATCTGTACACTTTCAGTGATATGGAGGAGAATAATTTTGTTTTAAAAACTTTAAACGTTGGTATTAACTTGTTTGTCTTTGTGTCCCTCAAGAAATACCTGAGATGCCTGTTAAAAATATAGTCTAAAGCCCCACAGCAGAGATCTCTGTTTCAGGTCTTCACCATATATGTGGTTACATAGGTCAGACTGAAACCTAACTTTAAAGTAATGACTGTCACGTCAAAGGGTAGATCGATGTGGGAAGAGAGTGATCCTTGCCTAATCCTTCCTCCCAACTCCCAATCCCAAGCAGAGTTTTATGGAACTAAAGAGTGTTTCAATCTCTCCCTAGGCGAGTAGGTGTGCGAGACGCCCCCTTTACCACAGAAATCTTTAAACAGTCTCTCCGTGAAACAGGGCACCGGGCAGGCGCAGAGCCCTGGTTGCAAAGCTTGAATCAATAGCATCACACCACCCAGCTGGCCACACCCAGGCCAGGAGGAGCAGCCATGAGAGCAGTCACCCTCCCTCCTGGGAGGGCGGGATTGAGCAAGGGAAGTTTATGTGCTTCTTTCCTGGATCTCCACAGCGGGAGATATGACCTGGTTCTCTAAAACCAAGGACAGGATGTTCCTAATCACATTGCCCTTGAGAAATAGTAGAAAATAAGGTCTACCATCACCCATCACAGTGCCTTTGTTCTCTTTAGCCCTACCTTGTAGCTCTCCTGAAAACTTGCCCATTCCCTGCAAATCACCTCCAAATCTAGTTTTTCTCTAATGTGGCAGATAGATATTGTGCATGTGCCATCTGCCAGCCCTTCCTCCCCTGCAGTCAGCTCCCTTTCAGTGGACTGTCTCCCCTGCACACACATCTCATCCCTTCACTGGCCCTTGCCCGGCCCGAGGCATCCTTCGTTGCTCCTTTCTGCTCTGCACTCTAACATTTAAGTGGTTCACTTTCTAATCTTCTGGGAGCCTTCCCCTCGCCACTTCTTTTCTGTCCTTTGATTCTTTTTTTTTTTTTTTTAGTTTTAAGGATTTTTTTTCTTTCTTTTTTCTCCTACAGAATGAAAACAAAATGGGTTGTGTCCTCATGGGGCCCTTGTGTACATATTCCACCTTCCAGATGTAGTAAGTAGTTTGTTTTGCTGTTGTTCTAATGCCACTATGAATTGAGGTCGAGACATGATATCAGTGTTCAAATGGTTTATCAAACAGCAGGCTAGTCAAGGCAACACAGTCAGGGGTGTTGGGGCCCCCATATTTTGCCACCTGTCTTGTAACTATCATTCCCTTATCCAGGTAACTCAATCTTGTTCAGTGTGGGGTGAAGGACAGTAGTTGTTCAGGTTCAGTTACCAACATCTGAGTTGGAGAGGCAACAAAAGAGTCCAGATTCTGGCAGGAAGCAGAGAAGAGGGTGCACTTGGATCATTGGGCTGGTTAATTAAAGTAATGCTCACCAAAGTACACGCAGAGTGTATGCAAACACAAAGAACAGGGCAGCTCCCCAGGGCAGTAGCAGGGCTCGGTTTTAGCTCTGGGTTTATAAGAGTAAGGAAAGGAGCACAGTACTTCTATCATAGCATTCTTTGAGGATTATAAATAACACATTAAAGTACTTTGCACCATGTCCTCGTCAGCTTAGAAGGAGCTTTCAGTATATTCTAGAAGGTAAATACTTCCCTTTGGGACAGTCGCCCTCATCACTTCCATTCATTAAATTTCATCACCACAAACACTTTGTTCTTCCAGATTACACCTGCCCCAGTCAAAATCCCTCCCAATGCTTTTCATTCACCTGTTACAGTCTTGCCCTGAATCAAGGGTCACCTCATGCCCACATAGAATTGCTGAAGAACCCCTTGCAACAGATTTTGGAGGGTAAACATTAGACCTCTGAAATTTCTGTTGCAAATTGTGCTTCTCATACCTCACACCCAGCTCTACAAACAGAGTCAGATGCTCAGGGCCACTGCACATCATAGACACACCGCAGAAGCACTTTTGAGCTCATCTTCCATATCAAAATGCAGACAAATGCAGACTCGTGCTCTTCCTTGCATTCATTCCCGATTGTCGTCTTATCTGACCACTTATCGATAATGCTATAGAGTACGCCCAAAAGAAAAGGAGGATTGAGAAAATTGACTCACCACTTATGAGAACTTGCCATCTGCAAAGAAGCATTTTAGTTTTATTGGAATAGAGAGAAATAAGTAAAACCCAGCTCTTGCCCGGTGACAGAGATGGTGACAAAGATATTGGTGACCAGTACAAGGCAGAGTGAGAGAGGTTCTATCGGAGAAGTACAAACGAGATGCTCTGGATGCTTGGAAGGAAATGGCCACCTCTGCTTGGGAGCCTTACACTTCAAGAAGGCAAAGACTTCATGAAGGCGTTGGTATAGAAGTTGCATGTTGAAGAATGAGTAACATTTGAATGGGTAGGGATGAGGAGATACGCATTCCAGCCAGGCAGAGGGTGAATGAAGTAAGTGTAAAAGCCAAGGAGCAGTGAAGTGTAGAAAATTTGGTAAAGTGTGTACTAACTGGCATGCAAGAGACATACAGGAGAATAATAGAGATAAAACTAGAAAAATTAAGTAGGTCCATATTCAGGAGGTCATGAGTTCTAGGAGAAAGAGTTATATTTAATCAGATTATTCGTTGTATATAATTTGTTGTGTTTAATTAGATTTAGTTCGATTTCATTAACCACTGAAGTTGAGCGGGGAAGTACCATAAGAAGCAGCTCAGCATTGGGAAGAAGAATTGAGAACAGTTTACACGAAAGACTGGAGCACCCAAGGAGAGACGGGGGCGAGGGGACTGTTCAGCATGAAAGCAGCTGACATGAACAGGGAGGATAACTTGTAAAAATATTTAAAGGTAGGATCAATAGTATTTGATAACTGATTGGATGTTGGGGTTAGGGATGGAAAGTAGTCAAAAAGGCTTTGAGATCTCATTTAAAGGTAGGATCAATAGTATTTGATAACTGATTGAATGTTGTGGTTAGGGATGGAAAGTAGTCAAAAATGCTTTGAGATCTCAAAACACTAAAAGAACGGGACAATTAGGATAAGAAACAATTTTGAGAAATAAAAACATAGCATACGTTTGGCTGTGAACATGGGGAGTTTGAGATGAAAGCAGCACACTCAGGGAACTTTTCAGTGGAATGCTGAAGATTCAAGAAGACACTGTTGTCCTTCCTTTATCAAACGCATGGTGAGCACCTGCCTGAGAACCTGGCTGCTGGAGACACTGCGGTGAACCAACCAGACAATGATCCCTGACTTCATGGAGCTTGCAGTCTAGTGGAGGAGACAGATACTCACCCAAATAATTACCTGGTCTTAGGTATAAAGGAAAGTTTTTCTGATGGATAAAGAGAAATTTAATCTAGGGCCTGATGGATGAGTAAGAGTCAGCCAGGCAAAGGGGCAGGGCAACAGCATTCTTGGTGTTTGTGAGGCCCTGCAGGGGAATAACACTTGATATGTTTAAGGAGCTACAAGAAGGCCCACGTGCTGAGCAGAGGAAGGAAAACTCTAAAATCCTCCACCGATGTCTGTCTCAAAGGTAGTCCACAAATAAGTCAGTGAATAGAGGGAAAGTATACTTTGGACTTTATAGATGTGGTGGCTATAGAGGCCCATCCTCTATTTTCTTATCCCTACTCCCAAAGTTTATATGTCCCAGTGTGAATGTTATGACAGCCCAATGACAACACATTTTAGAATAAATCAAAGTAACCAAACCATAGACACATTGAAGACACCTAGTGTGTTCTTAGAACATAACATATGTTCAATAAACGTTTTAAAATGCACCTGTGAGAGGGACATGTATATATGACAGCTGCTTGAGTGACCCTATTTCATTACATGCTGAAACAGGTTAAAGAAGGCTCTTATTTGTGCTACTTAAGTTAATCCTGATACTGATTTCTTTGTTACCACTTGGCATAGCCTTGACACAGATTTGAACTATACCATGATTTCAGCTGGAAGCTTTGGACTGTCATGTGACTTCAAGGAAACGTTAACCAGGCTGATGTTTCCAGCGAGGAAGTTGATGTACTTCTTGGTTGACTTTTGGAAGATGAATAAATTGCCATTCAAATCTTTTTCCTGGACCTCTGCATATGTTTTCAAGAATAATACCGAGTCTGAGGATTGTTTCTGGTGAGCAGAATTATTAACATTCTCTGGCATTTGCCACAGAGAAAAGCCATAGACTCATGGCAGGCCACTGGTTGTTATCAGATGCACTCTCCGTCGGTTACAGCATTGGGAGTGGAGACCAGCCCACTCTCTTACACACATATAAAAGCCAAGGGGCCAAAAGAAACGCAGTCTCATAATCAGCAATGTATTCAGACTCTTCCTAGTTTTAAAGTACCTTCAAGGTAGTTTTATTGATTTCTCACAGTAAATACTCTGAAGAAAAGCGAACAGGTACTATGATCCTCATTTTACAGATAAGGAAATGAAAACCAGAAGTTAATGCTTTCACATTATTGTGCAAGGTATGATACCAGAGACTGTGCTTTCTGCCTATACCTGTACTTAGAAATTATTTCTCTCATGGTTTTTCAGAGGAATAAGGTGAGGGGTGGGGAACAGGATAATGGGCACCATGGCTAACATAAAATTGCAAGGTTCACTCACCTTCAGCAAAGGTGGAAGAGAGAATCCTTTGATTGGGTTGTTATTTGTACCTGCTCGTTTCCGTGGTCTCTCCACGTAAGTAAAGAAGACTGAGATTAGGGCACCACTGGGATTGCACACCTGGGAACTGCAAGAATCAACCCAAAGACCTCATCCTAGAAACTTTTGGGTGAACTTAGAACACACATAAGTTCATTTCACACAGAAGGAGAAATTATTTATATCCACTTTGAATTTTTGTACTGTAGATTCAAAGATTTCAACTGATCTGTGATAATGGGGCTGATTTACAGAGCAGCGTAGAATCTTCCTTTTGTAAATAGCAGGAAGCCATTGTAAGGGACCTGCCAAATCTCCACTGTGTGCATATATGCATGAAGATTACCTAAAAATGAAGATTACCTAAAACTTCCCCTATACTTTCACTAAATTAGATGCCCACACTCATGGGGTGTATTATGTGCTGTGTTCATAGTGGAAAGGAATTTTAGATGAACAATCCCAGGACAGATCTGTAAACAATGAGCAAATGGCAAGGAAGGCATTAAAGAAACTAAGCTGGTTTCTTATCATTTCTCTTTTTTTTGTTGTTGTTCTAGGTACCTCAATGCTCTGGAGGCTGGAGTTGCCAATTTTTCTCAGGAACTTAGCTTCAAGGATGTGTTGAGAGGAAAGGCCGAGTTTCAGAAAATCTTTATGGACCAGGGTAGGAAAAGCAATGGTAAGAAGACATGAAGATAATTTTTTGCCAGCTTCTTCTTCATAACTGCCGCTTCCTTATGAGTCATTCTGACAAATCTATCAGACAGAGCTGACATCATTGCCTCGATTTATTTCTTATCTTTTGGGAGATCTGCAGTTACATGCAACTCCATTATAGTTCCTTTTGTTGATTAAAACCTTCTCCTCGGAGAGAAATTAGGAAGGTGGTGTTGAGCAAATATATTAACTTCATGAAAGTGATGATGATGTTAAAATCCAATTTTTGTAAACCACAATGATATCACAACCCACCGTCACAGTAAACTGGTTTTTATTTTTGGATTTGTGACAAATCCTCAAACATGCTGAACCCTACTCCCCTCATGACTAAGGGGATATATTTTCTGATATCTAGCTTCAAGCAAAATTACAAGAGTAAGCAAAGTATTTCATCTGCCCAGTGATCTCTGAGTTACAGGTCAGGTGTGAAAAACTAATGGGATCGAGTCATCCTCCCTAAGTTATTAGGTGATTTGCTTCATTTTCCACAAATAAGAATATATCAGAAGTAAAGGAATCAACTGTGAGAATTTAATGGGAAATGCTTGCTTGGCAGGACTTCCTGGCAACATTCAAATCATCATCTACTGTTATTAGTAAGCATTTATCAAATTAAGAACCTACCACTTGCAAAACATTGACCAAGAGATGGGGCGGGGGAAAAAATATTAAATTATCCATATCCCTAAGGTGTTTACAATTCAACTCGGCAGCACAATATATTTTTGAAACCTAATGCAGTGTCCCCCAACTCCTCTTGTTCATAAAGCCATGCTTTGGGGATTGTAGCTGCATGTGTAGAATCAGACTGAACTCTGTCACCGAGATCACTAAGACTAAGATCTGAGTTAATAAGCTACAAGTTTCTGAGGAACGCTTCATAAATTCTCACATTAACTTTTACTATATCTTTCCAACCACTTTACAAACGGTGAGGTGAAAAGAGTTATCCATGAAAATAGTTTTTGTAGTGACTCCGGCCTGGTGTAATGGAATAAGCACTGAAGCCGACTCAGAGCACTTGACTATGAGAGCTACCTCTGTCATCGAGTCGTTCTTTAACCCTTTGGTATCTTGGCTTCAGTCTCCTTAAATCAGTAACATTCAGGGAATGGACTAGATGATTCTTTTTAAGATTCCATTTAGCTCTATTCTGACTCTTTGACTATAAATTTAAGAAAAGGGGAGGTAGTAATTTGAGGAATTGGTGTTAATCTTAAAACGAAAGTACAGGGGAGGGATGAGATAAACCAAATAATTTGTATGCACTTATGCGTAACCAATGGACATAGACAACAATGCTATGGGGGGAGGGGAGATCAGGAGGAGAGTGTCTGGGGGGAAAGGAGAAACATCTGTAACAAAAATAAATTAATAGAAATTGCAAAAATAAAACAAAAGTACCGTGGACATACTGGGTTCAAATTCAGGTGCTGGGTTCCCTTTCTGTTTGTGTGCAGATGCTTGTATATTTCTCCCTTTGTCTTGCCCTCTCTCCAGTGTTTGTTGTGTGTGGTACACCAGACACCATCAGCTTCCTCAAGGATGGCCTGGAAATGGCTGAAGACACTGTCATTATTCTAGTGGATCTATTCAAGTAGGTATAATATTTGGAAGAACTCTTCTCCTTTCAGAAAGAAAATGCTCCGAGGATTTCTAAAAGGTGTATTCTCTTTTCCTTTGCTTTGCACAGCCTCATATACAGTTCAGATGATGCTAATATTTTAAGCTATGTTTCTTTACATTTTTATTATGCCCTCATTCTTATTTAATTAATCATGGCCTTAGTAAAGATGTATTCCTTTGGCATCATTATCATATCTAAATACAAAGTTTTATGAAAATCCCATTAAACCCACATGTCTATTTATCCTGGTGTCCAACCTGATTTTAAGGTCTTTTACTAGACAGTGATAAATCAACTTATATCCAGTAATACTATCTATGAGAATGTGTGCTGCATCTGTGCCTTCAATTGCTAATGGCCTTTGATCCTAGATTATTTTTCCTTCAGCCACCTTTGGTATGAGGAAAGTTTCAGTTAAATGAATTTGATTTACACTATTATTCTTTGCCCACTGTGGCATAGTCACTGGGTAGTGACCTTTTCCTCTGCATTTCTCTGGAATGAAAGAGAGAAAATTCTAGAAACCAGAAATCACTTTTTATCACATCCCTCATTTTGCCATTCATCTTTGAATGTGGAGATTCACAAAATAACTATGCCAAGGTAATATCAGAGACAGATTAAGCTTCAAGAGGTGTTCACTGGTGTGGCTGTGCCCTTTGCCCCATCAGTTAGATCGTATGACTTCACTTATCTGACTGATCATTAATCATTACCTGTCTGTATTCAGACCAGAAACTGTTACTGCATTAACTCTTCCCCGTATTTGCCTGGTCATTTCACTCACACTACATGTACTTTTTACAGTGTGAAGAGAAGTGAAGCATAGAAATGCAGGCCTGGCCCTGGCCGGTTTGGCTCAGCGGTTAGAGCGTCGGCCTGCGGTCCAGAGGGACCCGGGTTCGGTTCCCGCTAAGGGCACGTACTTCGGTTGCAGTTTGTCCCCGGCCCTGGTTGGTCGTGCGGGTGGCAGCCACTCGATGTGTCCCTTCACGTCGATGTTTCTCTCTCTCTCCCTTCCTCTCTCTCCCTCCCACTCTATCTGTACAAAAAAAAAAAAAAAAGAAATGCAGGCCTGATTGACCTCAGGTTGTTCATAAAGATAATTCAATCAACCAATTTAACTTTTTCGCTGTGGAATTCAGGAAGGAGGACAAGTGATCAACATTTTATCCCTACAACCATATTGATAGCTTCTTTCTTTTATATATTTTTTTATTGATTGATTTTTAGAGAGAGAAGAAGGGAGAGGGACAGAGAAATAGAAACATTGATGAGAGAGAACATTGATTGACCGCCTTCTACATGCCCCCCATTGGGGATTGGGCCTGGGCATGTGCCCTGACCAGGAATCAAACTGGTGACCTCTTGGTGCATGGTCGATACTCAACCACTGAATCACTCTGGCTGGGCGATAGCTTCTTTCAATAACTGTTTTGCCCTCTGGAAGGTGTCCTCAGTGTAGCCAAGTTGGTATAATTTTACTGTTAGCAAATCCTCAATCAACTGCCAAAGTGTTGGCAATCCTTTGTCACTATTCCTGAAGGACAGCTGATTATGTTTTGGGAAAATCATGAGATTCACTTGAAACTAAATATAACTTGGGTTCAAATTCTAAGTCTGACACTTTTGGGTCATTTGACTCTTGGATATTAGTATTTTGAGATCAAATCTGCTCATTTGTAAAATGAGAATTAAAATGTCCACTTTATAGAGGTACTTTTAGAATTAGTTGTGATAATATGAGCAAAATATTCAACACAGCCCTCTGTTCATAGGTGTGTTCACCAATGTTTGAATATTAAATGTTGATCAGCCTCGTTATAGCAGTTCCAATGCGATAGATTCTTGACCTATTAAAACATTCAAATGATTAGGAAGCTTAAATACCATTTGTAGCACAATCTCAGACATTACTGGGAGTCTACAATGTGCCAAGAATTATCTTGGAGTTGAGGATACAAGGATCAATAAGCAAAAGTCAAGAAGTTTACAATGTTAAAAGGAAATGTTTAGCCCTTCCATTCTTATGTGTCACCATCTGAAAAGTAATTTTAACTCAGAAAATTTCTATCATATCTTAACATCTCTAAATTGTTATGAACACTTAAGGAAAAGAATGTTCCCAGGTATAAACCAAGGGTCATTAAGTCTTGAAAGCAACCAGTAGCTCACATGTCCAGAGCCCAGACAAATCTCCCTCAAAGTAGTATTTGTCTTCTGATCTTCCTTTTCCATTTTGTATGTTAAGCACTTCTGCTAAGTTCTCTTGCTCAATTTAGCAGGTATAGAAGAAAATAAACCTATGTGGGGAAAGTAAAGTTTTGCAGGTTCCTGGAAAACATAAAATATTTTAAACTATCTCAAGGCTGATATTATAGTTTGTGTGAATTGTAGAAGCTCCATCTCTATTTTTGGAGGAACCTAATTTTCATGAGAAACTGTGCTTTTATTGCAGTAAACACTACTTCAGGGACAATGTCACAGCCCCTGACTATATGAAAAATGTCCTTGTTTTGACACTGCATTCTAACGAGTCCAATAGCTCTTCATCCCAGGACTTCCCAGTGGTAAGCTTCATATGTACATGCTATTATTTTCTTCATCAAGGTTAAGATATTATTCTACTATTTGGGACTCAAATTCTAAGATGAGCAATTTTTTTTTAACTTATTCCCATTCATTCAACAAGTGGTAACCGAGACCAACCATGTGTAATGGCAGGATTCCTGCTATTGGCATTCTTACCATGGGTCAGTATGCAAGGCTCCAGACCAGCACATCAGTGCACACGTCTGTAATATTGGAACAGAAGTGACAAGGTGGGAGGGTAGAACATGCCTTGCTAACTTAGGGGGAATGGAAATTAAACAATGTAAAATAAATGCAGTTTTCCTACATGAATAAAGTCTGTATTTCCCGTTCTCAAAAATGTAACCCTAAGTAGCCCATCCCTGTATTCCTAAGTAAAGACATTGTCATCCATTATAATTAGGTTATCCATTGTCCACATTTATCCAGGAGAGGCCTAGTTTATTCCTCTTATCCCAGCATCCCATCTGGTTTAGCATTTGTCCCCCAAAACAATGCTCCAATTAGACGTCAGATCATGGTCACCTTATTATAATGCAGGGCCCCTGACTCCAGTACCACAGTGGGCTTGGTCAGTCCCTGCACCTTAATGTGATCAAATTCATCAGATGTGTTCTGCCTTCAGAGACAGCTGAGAGCAGATTTGGAGTGGGAAGAGGAGGCAAAGAGAGTCCTGAGGACCCTGAACAGTTTTGGGACGGCAAGCAAAGGCCAAGTCCAAAGAGCTCTATAAGGAAATTGGGGTATCCTTGGGAGTGTCACAGTGTTTCCTACACTAGCAGTTCTAAGCCCTCTGTTTCACAACCCTGCCAAGATCAGGGGCTATACCCCCTTTTGGGTAGGGCTGGGTCTTAAATGAATTCTTTTCATCTTATGAAATGATGATTTCAGCAAAAGACACTGAAACCAATGAGAGGTATTTTATTTTTTCCTTTTTATATTCCCTAGCATATATTCTTTGTGGTATAGAATTCAGGTATCACTTGCACAGTTTCCAGGCTCTGGCAAAAGCGTGATTCTTCACAGGTGGGCAATCCAAAATACCCAGCTGGCAGAACTCACTGGGTTTCGAGGGGCACAGAGCTGTTAATCCAGAGCCTAACTCTGCGAAGACCAGCATACAACTGTTGCAGGAGAGTTTCAACCCCCTCTTTGTTTTATTTTATAGATTTTTTAAAATTGATTTTTAGAGACAGGGCAAGGGAGAGAGAGAGAGAGAGAAACATCAATGCGAGAGAGCAGTATCAATCGGCTGCCTCCTGCATGCGCACTACTGAGGATCGAGCCCACAACCTAGACATGGAAAATGAACCGGCACCCTTTTGGTGCACAGGACAACACCCAGCCAACCCAGCCACACCAACCAGGGCCTGACCCTTTGGTTTATGTTCCCCTGGGCAGGCATTTATGGCCTGAAGTAACACCCTATCAGAACTGTCTTCAAAGTGAGCTCAAGGGTATCTTCCAATCAGAATTCCTCCTGCCCTGTTCAGGATACTCAAAGGCAGAAGGATGTCTTTGTGGTTATTCCCTTTTACTCTTTAATGAAAACATTAAACTGCAAGCATTAGTTTTGTATAAACTCTTACAAGAATTATTAAAATGCTGTATGTTGTCCTTCTTGGTTGAAATGATATATTTTATCCTCATGGGAAGGAAGTACAATGGCTTTTTTTGTTTGTTTGTTTTGTTTTGTTTTGGTACGTGCCCCTAGCCACTAGGGTCTAGTGGGAACTGAACCCAGGACTCTCTGGTCCACAGGCCAACGCTCCAACCACTGAGCCAAACTGGCCAGGGCTACAATGGCTTTTTGTTTCTTCCCTGAAGGCAGTGCTCTCACAAGAAAAGACAGAACTGTGACACAGGGATAATTAAGAGCCCCTCCTCAAGGAAATATTTTCCAAAATTCTCCTGTAACACCATTTTTACAATTCCCCCAATATTCATTTACCCTTCCTGACCCCAACAACATTTTGCTCCAGGCTCAAGACCAGCATCTCTTTTCTGGAATTCATTTAAAATTTTTCTCTCATTCAGGAGCTAAGTCCCTTTTCTCTTGCCTACTTGAATGGAGTCTTGCTCTTTGGACACGTGCTGAAGCTATTTCTTGAAAATGGAGAAGATGTTAACACCCCCGAATTTGCTCATGCTTTCAGGAACCTCACTTTTCAAGGTACTGGTTATGCCCTGGCCAATGTTGCTCAGTGGTTAGAGCATCAGCCTGCAGACCAAAGAGTCCTGGGTTCGATTCCAGTCAAGGGCATGTACCTTGGCTGCAGTTCAGTCCCTGGTTCTGGTTGGGGTCGTGGGGGAGGCAACCAGTCAATGTGTCTCTCTCACATTGACGTTTCTCTCTCTTCCCCCACCAACACTCTATCTGAAGATAATTGGAAAAATATCCTTGGGTGAGGATTATAAAAAAAAAGAAAGAAAGAAAAGTAAAGGTACTGGTTACCTAAGAGCAAACAGCAACACTTAACTAACATTTCCTACAGAAAGCTGAAGAAATATGGACTTTGTGGGTGGACTTTGGGAAGCAAAGAGGGGGTTTGGCAGTAGATGGATCAACAGATAAATACCTTTGAACTTAATTGGAGGCAAACATCATTATACAGACTTATCAATAACTATATCCCAGTTTATGCTTTAGAATTTCAGAGTTTTTGAAGTAGCTCAGGCCCTGTAGTTACAGACAAGCTCATCACAAATTACTTTGAGCCGTGGTGTCCTGACTGTGCTTAGAGATTCGCAGGAAGTAAAACATCTGTGGTTTGATTTTGGTCCTTTCATATTTCTCTTTCTATCCTTCAGAAATCAGGGACTCCGTGTTATCATCCCTCTAACTCAAAATCTCTCCTAACAATACCATCCAAAATTTCTCAATACATGTCCCCCAGAACGACAGGGATCAGCATTTCCTTTCCACACAAGCTCCTGTTAAAACTCCTTTCATTTCCCAGATCTCACCCCGATACTATAAAAACCTATTTATTTTTAGATTAATGTATATTAAGTAAAAGACAAATGATAGCTGACTTCTCTAACTTGCCTGAAGTCCTTACTCTGAGAAACCTTTATCCTTCTGCAGAGTGAGTCTTCTCTTGAATCCAGGGGGTGGCAGGCCCCAGCACATTGCTCGAGGGCTGCATCAATGTCCATAGGTTATGACAGTGACAGGAAGAGATGGCTTCTGCTCCCCTGAAGAAGCAGGGAAGGAGGAAGGGACAATGTTTTATCGATAGTCTCCTGTGTCCCAAGTTCTTACAGGCACTTTATGGACATTATCTTTTTCCTCAATTTTTAAAATTGTGATAAAACATCAAATTTACTATCTTAATCATTTTTAAGTATAGTTCAGTGTTACCAAGTTCATTCATATCATTGTGCAACTATCACCATCATCCATCTCCAGAACTCCTTTCACTTTTACACTGACATTCTATAGATATTGAACAATAATTTCCCATTATCCCCTACCCTTACCCCCTGGCAAGCACCATTCTACTTTTTGTCTCTATACCTTGAACTATTTACATACCTCATGTAAGTGGAATCATACAGCATTATCCTTTTTGTGACTGTCTTATTTCATTTAACATAATGTCCTCAAGGTTCAATCCATGTTTGATATGTCACAAAGGACTCTTAGTTGATAGTTTTTTCTTTTAGCATTTTGAATATATTAGCCCACTGCCTTCTGGCCTCCAAAGTTTCCAATGAGAAATCAGCTAGCAATCTTATTAAGTATCCTTTGTATGTGATAAATCACTTCTCTTACCACTTTCAAAATTCTCTTTGTCTTTGTCTTTTGACAGCCTTATTATAATGTGTCTTGGTGTGAGTCTCCGAATTCATCTTACTTGAAGTTTATTGAGCTTCTTGCATGTTTATATTCATGTCTTTGATCACATTTGGGAAGTCTTTGGACATTATTACTTCTAATATTCTCTCTTCTCCTTCTGGAACTTCCACAGTGCTTATGTTGGCTGGCTTGATAATGTTCCACAGTCTCTTAGGTTCTGTTCCCTTTTCTTCAATCGTTTTTCTTTCTGTTTCTCAAACTCAGTAATTGCCATGTCCTGTTTCATGTTTGCTGATTCTTCTGCCTGCTCAAATCTGCCTGTGCATCCCTTTAATGAATTTTTCATTTCAGTTATTGTGCTTTTCACTTCTGGAATTTCTTTTTGGTTTCTTTTCTAGATTTTATTTTACTTTATTGATATTTTCACTTTGTTTATACATCATTTCTTGACTTTATCCATATCTTCTTTTAGTTCTTTGAGCTTCTATAAGATAATTGTTTTAAAGCCTTTGTCTAGTAGATCCACCACCAGGTCTTTCCTAGGGACAGTTCTGTTATTTTATTTCTTTTGAATGGACTATATTTTTCTGTTCTTTTGTATGCATTGTGATTTTTTGTTGCTGTTGAAAACTGGACATTTGAATATAATAATGTGGTATCTGGAAACGACATGGGGGATGAAATCCTCCCCTGGGGAATTTCCCACTCCCCAGGGTTTGCTGTTTTTTGCTTTTGCTTTGGTTGTTATTGTTGGAGGCTGTCTCTATGCTGAGGAGTAAACTTAAGCCCTTTTTAGTTCTTTTCTGAGCTTGTGGCTTCTCCTAGGTATGACCAGTGCAGTTGCTTGAATGTCCTCCTCATCAATGCTGTCTCTCAAAGGGAAAAAAGAGAAAAACAAAAAGGTAGAAGGGGCACCAACCCTTTATACCCCCTGAAAGTCACATTAGCAGAGGGATGGGATTTGCCACCATGGGGGGAGTTGCAGCAACAATGGCTGCCACCTCTTTGCCTGCACCTCTGTGATCATAAACAACAATCAGCAATGAGAGCACAGATCCCCTTTACTTGGATGACAGGTCTTTCTTTTTTGCTCATCCTAGCTCCTGCAAACTGTGTGTGAACTGCTCCAGGAACACATGCACAGCTGTCTGCCACAGGACTGAGGGGTGGGGGAATGAGTAGCTGCTGCTGTACTAAAAGCTGAAATGGATGAAAATTAATCACACTTTACCATCTAAGCCTTCCCCCAGGAAGTCACAAGCCTTTGATAGGCTTCAGAGTTCCAGAATAGTTACACCAGACAGAGTCTGCCGTTGCAATTGTTGTCTAGGTGAGGGAGATAGATTTCTGGCGCTTCCTACTTTACCATATTCTTAGAATCCTCCCATGTGCACTCTTTAAAAAAAAAAAAAAAAAAAAGTTTTTATTGATTTTAGAGAGAGAAGAAGGGGGAGGGAGAGAGAGAAACCTCAATTGGTTGCCTCCCACACACACCCCAACCAGGCATCAAACCTGCAACCTGAGAATCAAACTGCGACCCTTTGGTGAATGGGACGACACCCAACCAACTGAGCCACTCCAGCCAGGGCTTCTGTGCATTCTTAATTAATTTTATCATATCTGTGATCTTGGTCAAACATCTTAATTGCCATTAACACAGGCTTAGAACCAGGAGACATTTATGTTCTAAATTAGCCACCTACTAGCTTTATAACCTGGAGAAATCTCTAACCTCAGATTTCTCATCAATAAAATGGAGATAACAGTTTCTCTATCATGGTATTTTAGGAAGAATAAAATGATAAATGCATATAAACCACTTACCATAGAGCCTAGTATAATAGATGCAAAATAAACAGTTACCATGTTAAACCATATGAAATTGCTGATATTTGATCATATTTTAACCTAAACAGCCATTTCATAAATTTGTTGTACTATTATTATTTCATAGATGAGAAACCAAGACACAGAGAAATTAATTTTCTCAGTGTCTTCAACCAGTAAGTGATAGTGAAGAGATTTTGATCTTACAATCTAAGTTAGATTGTGCAGTGACCTACACACTGTGATACTAGGTCAGTAAATATTCTTAACAAAAACGTCTCACTAATAATCAGGAGGAATCTATTACAGTTAGTGCCACCCTAAAAGCAAGGAAAAAGATTTTTCCTTCTAACTAAATAACATCTCTCATAAAAAATATTCTTCAGAGATCTCAGGGCCAAGAACCAATCCAGATGCCCTCGGACTGGATCATTTAGATCAATAATTTTTCAGTAAAATAGAGCAATTTAAACCTATTATACTCTCTGTCGGGATCTAACTGGTCTTTTGATCAGTATGTTAGCAAATGCCTCTAACACTTTCTTATTTTGCTCCAGGGTATAAGGGTAATGTGACTTTGGACATCTATGGGGATATCGACGAGACTCTGGTGTTTCTGTATACCTCTGTGGAGACCAACAAAGTATGTCTGACTTCTTATCAAGAACATGGGTCGAAGTGATTGGCTGAGGAGGGATAATGTGGGAGGGGAGTACTAGTGAAGGAATTAGGGAAGTATGTAAACATAACTCCTGGAAGTTAGTCTATGTCAGATTCACAATTACGCTACACTTGGGGCAGCATTCCTTGAGCATTTTACCCACGAAACATTTTATCTATTCTATTTACTACATAAAAACACACCGCCCAGAATACTTGATACAAAGACCAGAGTGTTCATAGGATACCAATGAGAGGGTGACATTTGTGCTGTGAAGCAAGAAATGAATCTCAATAAGCTACCCTTTGGCTAGTTAACATCTTGTTTCACTGAGAACTGTTACTATGAAATTCAAACGTCATTAGACAGGACGGTCAATTTCATCATGGGTTGTTCTGAAATCTCTTTTTCTGTTCATCCTTCTTCTTTTTCATGTCCTGACACAGTACAGTTTACTTATGACCTACGACACCCACAGAAATAGCACTGGTGAGTTGCAAAACAGCCCCGCATTCATCTGGAAGAATCACCAACTTCCTAACGACACTCTAGGCCAAGGTACGATAGCCTCAGTGCATTTTCTTTTCTTAAAATTGTTTCTTTCTGATAAGAAAAGTAAGGTCTATGGTTTATGCAATGGGCCTATGTTTTTTGTTTTGTTTGTTGTCTCAATCATATTTGCCAGGTTTATAAATGTGGAGTTTACTTTTCTGCACAATGAATGATATTATAGTTCTGATCAAGCACTGAAAATATTTCTTTTCTAACTTGGCATACCTGTCTTTAATGTGTGTTTACCCACCTTTTGACATAAATCACCTTGTAGAAAACTAGGTTTGACCACAGGAAAAATGAAACACATTCTTACTCCTTTTATATTTTACTGCAGTAAACTCAAAGCATACATGTTTCAGCAAGGAATGCTTGATGTCCTCAGGCTGAGCATGGCCTCCAGTGTCCCCCGTCCCCTCACAGGACATGTACTTGGGTTATAATGATGGTTATGCACCTACTTAAGATGAGGTCTTATCATGTATGGAAAGCCCTAACGTGGCCAAGCCTTCCCCAATGCAAGTGTCAGTGCAGCTGTATGACACTGGCCATCTCTGCACAGGGCCAGCCAGGTACATCCTGGGCAATGAGGTCTCAGGACAGTCTGTCCTTGATGGAGTTGGCCAAGGCTTATCACAAGGAGTAGTAATTCCATGTTACTAATCAATTTTTAGGAAAACAAAAGTTTACATTTGGACAAATATTTATGCCGAAAGATGCAAAAGAAGAAGAAAAGTGGAAATATCATTAATAAAATGAGCAGCAAAATTATGATATAATCATAAATGGAGCATCATGTAAACAATTAAAAATAATTATTTACAAAGGATTTTTAAAATTTATTAGGGTGACACTGGTTATACAGGTTTCAGATGCACAGTTCTACTACACATCATCTGTACACTATATTGTACATTCACCACCCCAAGTTACAAATAATTTTAAATGACATGGGACAACGTATGATATAAAGTAATAGGAAAATATAGCTTTTTAGTTAATGAGATTCTAACTTTGTACAACAATGTATAGAAATAAGAGTGTAAAAAAAAAAAAGCATGCTAAAATGTTAACCTCTGAATAATAGAATCCTACAAAATTTGTCTTGGTTTTATATATTTTTCTCAATTTTCCATAATGACTTTATTAATTTACCATTTTTTAAACTACAAATATTTTTATCCCAGTCTTATTCAACTACCAGGAACTCTGAAAAGTTGATCTGACTTAAAGAGAACAGTTCTGGTTTCATGAGTTTGCTTGTGTTAAAGCTATAGTAACTATGTTTCTAGTCCTCTTGAGCTCTGAGTCAAATTTAGTTAAAAATGATCCATGTAGTTTTATCCAATAAGCATGAGCAGTTGACTAAAGCAAAGAGGAAGGTGGGATGTGGGGACCCCATTATTCTAAACAATAGGTAATCCTGAGCTGACTTCAGATTTATTGTTACTGATTTTTAAAGTTGATTTCTTTAACAAGGTTTGTTTTTTCATGGTTGGTTGGTTTGTGTTTGTGTGTTTGTTTAATCTTTAGAACCATCATCAAGCTTTCTAGGTTTTAAACCAAACGTGTCTTCTTAGCTATATCCCTCTTCTCGCAGGCTGTTGCAACTTTCTACATCTTCCTTTTGTAACTTTCGAAGATAAAATTGTTTCTTTCTCCTTAATTATAGCTCTCAGTAACAATGTTAGGTTCGGATTTTTAATATACTCCTTTAAGAGGTTTTAGATATTTAGGTTATTGAATAGAAGGTCTGTGCTTTTTAAAGAAATGCTGAACTTCTCAAAAAGTAATTTTTAAGAGAGCTCTCATTTACCTAAAGGAGATCACATTAACTATTTATATTCTGGAGAACAGGGGCATTGCGTCATCCTGGGCCACTTCACTTCATCCTCAGCTAACCAGAAAACTCAGTTACCCAGAGCTTTTCATTACTTAACTGTTACTACATTTAGTTTTATTTATTTATTTATTTTAATCCTTACCTAAGGATATGTTTATTGATTTTAGACAGAGGAAGGGAGAGAAAAGCATGAATGTGCGAGAGAAACATCAAACAGGGACCAAATCCTGACCAGGAATCGAACCCAAGACCTCTCAGTGCATGGGATGATGCTCCAACCAACTGAGCCACACTGGCCAGGGCCACCATATTTAGTTTTAAACTTTACAAATTAAGTAACTTAATCTTCCAAATAGTATGCAAATAAGATACTCATGCCTGGTTTCTGCCAACTAACTAACAACGTTTCTTCTGGAGATTACAACATCACTGTCTTTTCATTCATTCAAGGAAGATTCACTTAGTGCCAGGCAACGTTCTAAGCACCTGGGACGCAGCACTGGAAACAGACTAGGTTTCTGTTCTCCTCAGGCCTTCATCAGCCTCCTGCGTTATAATAACATCCACAGACTTCCTGCTTCCGTGCTGCCCACCTGCCAGCCCACCAACACCACCACCAGAACGACAGCATGAACCCAGTTATATTATTGCACTGTTGCTAACACTTCAATTACCTAGAGAAGAATAAATGACTTATTATTGCCCAAAATATCTATGATCTTCCTACATCTCCAGCCTTATTTTTCATTTTACATGAAATCCCATCTCCACTCTCTCAACTTCTTCCTACTTCCTTAAAGAAAGGGTCTTACAATGTCATGCCCTTATTGATGCTTTGCCCTCCGACCAAAAGTTATCACTGTCCAATACGACTGGAAAACAACCACTCAGCCTTAATATTTAACTTGACTTTCACCTTCTGTAAGCTTTTTATTAGCATTTCAGGAGGGTATGGATCTTGCCCTTATCCTACAGGACTTCTAGCATAATACTTATATCACAGTTAATGGTTTACACATCTTTTTATACTATATGTGTATTGTCCGTTCTTTATTCATATATCCTTACTCCAACACAATGCCTTTGGAAGGAAGGAAGGAAGGAAGGAAGGAAGGAAGGAAGGAAGGAAGGAAGGAAGGAGGGAGGTGCGAGGGAGGGAGGGAGGGAGGGAGGGAGGGAGGGAGGGAGGAAGGGAGGGAGGGAGGAAGGGAAGGAGGGAGGAAAGAAGGAGAGAGGGAGGGAGGAAGAGAGGAAAGAGGTAACTATAAATAAGCTTCTAGTCAGCATAATCTATAGAGTGTTAATTTAAGTCAGTTTACTTCTCTAAGTATGAATACCTTCCTCTGTTAAAGCACAAGATTTAACAAATCCCAAGGTTCTTTCCAAATAGCATGTCATTTGACTTTGGGGTTATAAACTCAATCTACATTCATTGTGATCCAGTTAAATAAAATGTGATAACCTTAACAGCCACCAGAAGGCAGCAGCAGATAAATCTTTGAGCTAATGCGATCCTGTGACTTACCTAACAAGCAAAACTAAAAAGTATGTTGAATTAAAAATTATAAATTGCTAATTATAAAAATAGTCATGGGGATGTAAAGTACAGCATAGGGAATATAGACAATAATATTGTAATAACTATGTGTGATATCAGATGGGTACCAGATTTACCTGGGTGATCATTTCATAAGTTATATAAATGTCTAATCACTATGTTGTACACTTGAAACTAATATAATATTTTATGTCAACTGTAATTGAAAAATTGAAGTAAGACTATATTTCATTTTGCCAGTTGTCAAACAATTTTTAAATAAAATTTAAAATACTGGTTTAATTCATATTGAGTATATTTAAATATTATAGTTATATTTCAAGCAATGAGATGTTCACAGTGAGAAGCAGATAGGAAGTGAGATGGGTTGAGGACCCAGCAGATATGCCTTCCAACTCGTGCTCCAGGGGGATGTGTAATTTTACATTATAATAGACTGATGAGTAGAAGCACCTGCCCTGTTGAAATTGCATTTCTCATACTCATTTTTAAAAATAAACACAAGCATGGGAATTTACTTTAGAATAACCAAATCTTAATCTGTAATAGTGTACAATGGTATTTTTTTAAATATTTTTTTATTTTCCAATTACAGTTGACATGCAATATTATATTAGTTTCAGGTGTACATTCAATACTCACTTTTGTTTTCTGGCTAGGGTGTGAGAATGATGGTTGTAAAAATGGTGGTGGTGGTGGTGATGGTGATGGAAATGGTGATTATAGTAATAAACAGAATTCACCAAAGTTAGATGTGCCCACAATTCAATTTCAACTCCAACCTGTTAATTTATTTCTTCCCTGATGAGAATAAAAATCCAGAGTTCACATTTTACTGTTAGAACTTTCCCCTTAGCTCTGGCTGTTCTAAATCAGTTGGTATGTGTGGCACAAAGTTGAGACACTGGCGCTATATAGAAAGACAAGATATCATGGCATGCTATTGAGTTTCATATAAATAATAATAACAATCGTGAAAATGTTTTCAACTTATAAAATATCAACTTGTAGGTAAATGACAGAGGGATTCATTATGGTTACCAAATAAATATTATCAGCCCTGACAAATTAAAGAAAAATACAGGAGAATTTGGGAGATGAGAAAGAGGTAGAAGAAAAACCGTCCATCGAAAGATTGCTGTTTCAATTCCTGGCCAGGGCTCATGCCTTGGCTGCAGGCTCAATCCCCATTGGGGGAAGGGGTGTGCAGGAGGCAGCCAACTGATGTTCCACTTCCACATGGATGTTTCCCCCCCCCCCCCATTTCTTCTCTCTCTAAAAATCAATACAAAATCTTTTTTAAAAGAATTTCCCCTTAGCTGAAATTTTTTGTCAATATATACATTGGGTACTTTTTGTAATTTTAATTAATATGCATGAGCTTCTAGTGTTCTCTTGTCAACTATGTAGCAAACTTCTTGCTTCCCAATCTGGTAAGATGAAGATAGTGTCCCTACTTTGCTTTCTTCTCAATCTAGCTTATTCCTCAACATACTCAGATTCTGCTTTAATGTTTCTTTGGGTTTGATCCACATTGTCCTGGGTTCCACTTACTCTGCTGTGAGTCTCTCACATTACCCCATCTATACCACTCCACCCATGTACTAGTATTCTAATCAACAAAGTCACTTACATTCTTCACTGACTTCCCACAGTGACCTAGTAGAGCTTAGATAGGACCAGCAGGCAACACTGTAATCTAATATTCCAACACTGACTTACTTTTCTTCTGATTTGTTTTCTGTGTTTTAAAATACATGTCTCATGTCCTGGCCAGTTTGGTTCAGTGGTTAGAGCATCGGCCCGTGGAGCAGAGAGTCCTGGGTTCAGTTCCCACTCAGAGCACGTATCTCTCACATCGATGCTTCTCCCCCCTCTCTGCCCCCCCGCTCTATCTAAAGATAAATGCAAAAAAAAAAAAAAAAAAAATGTCCTTGGGTGAGGATAAAATACATGTCTCGCCCTGGGGGTTTGGCTCAGCGATTAATGTGTCAGCCCCCAAACTGATGAGTCATGAGTTCGATTCTGGTCAAGGACATGTACTTCGGTTGCAATTCATCCCCAGCCCTGGGTGGGGTCGTGCAGTAGGCAACTATTCGATGTGTCCCTTTCGCGTTGATGTTTCTCTGTCTCTCTCTCCCTCCCACACTTCCTGAACAAAAGTGGAGGAATATCCTCGGGTGAGGATAAAAAATAAAAATAAAAACACATGTCTCTGTCTCCCTCTTTGAATCCTCTGTAGGTATATTGGTTTCAAGAACACCAGGTAGAGTTCCAGCACCTAATTTATTTGTGTGCTGGAAGCTACTTTGTGTCTTACAACATTTGGCGATTCCTATAAGAAAGAAACTATGTATAGATGATAAGGACAGCTGACATCAAACCACTTCCCCTGCACATTCCAGGCAGTTTTCTTCAGAGACCGAGGACACAGGACCTATATTAGCAGGAAAGAGATGAATAAAGGACAACATTTTTAAAAAGACTTTTCACTTTCCCCAAATTACATTATGCAACTAGAATCTTTGAAATGCTTTTATTCTCTTTTCAACGATCCTTACTAATGCATTTTTCACTGTCTTTTCTGTGACAGGGCCTCACATCCTGATGATTGCAATCTTCACTCTTGCCGGAACTGTGGTCCTGCTGCTGTTGATTGCTCTCGTGGTGCTGAGGTACCCACCACCCCCTCTGCTCCTGTGCTCCTCATTCCGAGAGGGAGGGGCCAAGAGAAGGAGAGGTCTAATGTCTGTTGCTGATAATGTATGTTCACAAAGAGGCCTTTAGACAGATGCAAGATCATAAAGACATTCTGCATCAAAGATGATATCAAAGGCAGAATATTACCAGGCAGATATATTAGAGCTTTGGGGTAAGACACCCGAACTAAAGTCCATGTTCTGTGACTTACCGATCGTGTGGTCTTAAGCATATTACTTAGCAACTTATGCGTGTTACTTAGCTTCAGGGTCATCATCTGAACTGTTTAAGGGGTTGAAATAAAGTATGGGTAGTGACTACCATATAATAGGTATTTGATAAGTGGAAATAATTACCTTTGCTGCTTTATTGGTACAGTGTGGGAAATTTCAAAGTCTCTATATTGCATAATGTTCAGGCTGGACGAAGGTTTAGAAATCATCTATTCCAAGCGCTCTGCCTGCATGGGGTAAGAGAGGCCCAGAAGGCCACGTGGCTAGTCTGGAGTCACACCCCTGGCCAGCAGTTCCATGATTGTTCTATTTGACTTGGACATACAAAGTGCCTAACTCAGTGCCAGAGACATAGTGTATACTCAGAAGTATTTGTTGAATATATAAATTGATGAATGAATATTACACGACATCCTAATCTGTGTATGTTAGACACACAGAACTCTCTATCCTATTATATTATCAGGATCACTCCCGTTTCCTAGCCAAACCAGACAATAGTTTTCTCTCTATATCACGTTTTGGTCTGTGGCACTATACTTTCTCATAATGAGAGTCCAGCCTGTTTCATGTCAGTGGACGTAGATCATTCCCTTCGGTCTGAAGAGTCCTGTAATTCCGTATTGCTTAAAAATACAGGACATGATCTACAGTGTGTGGTGGCCATTTGTTTGAGGGTGAGCAGAAACCAAAATTTGGAGAGAATAATGCCAGGTGATAGTAGGGTCACAGATATGACCTAAAAACCAAATCCAAATTGGGTATCAGCTTCAGATAGGGGTGAATCACAGGTAAGAGACGGTGACAGGAGGAAATGGGCACTTTCCATTTTCTCTGAGCGTGGGAGGCAGAGGCAGGGCTTCCTAATAGTCAGAGCAATAGTGTGTCCGTGAGGAAATCTGGAAGACGGATGTCACTCCTGTAATTGTCCATGACAACAACCTATACGAGAAAAGCAGCAAGCAATTTATAGCACTCCCTAATTCAATGTGAATGACTGTTGGCTCTGAAGGGTCCCCAGAGTTTCTCGGGGTACACAGATGAAAGCCTGGAAGCCTTGCAGACCTTCCTACTTAGGGTCATAATTATTGGTCAATAATGTGCTAGTTTATATGTATTTAATAAAGGGTTACTCAGAGTTAGATGGAAGCATGGGAGAGAATAATTATTTCTGCTTAAGGGACATTAAGAAAGACGTCATGAATGACCTTGAGTAGGTGAGTAAGAGTTTGTTAAATGACCAAAGCAAAGGCAAACTCATGGACATACAAATAGGTCAATGGAGAAGAATGTGGATTCTGGAATCAGACACAAGCAAGCATGAGCATTTGGAATACTTTAGAGGGGACATTACAAGTCATTTGGGAAATGATGTTGGGCAGTAGGCTTTTAATATGAAAAAATAAAATACTCTCTGAAATCATACACAAAGATTAAGTCAATTCCATATGGAGTTTTAAATAGATAAGGATGTAAATGTGAAAATCAAACTTTAAAATGTAGAATAAATGAATGGAAAATGACTTTATGATCTCAGATTAGGAAAGTATTTCTCAGTCAAGATAAAAAAGAAAAGTAAAAAAAACAAAAAAAACAAAGAAAAGTCATAAAAGAAAAACATATAACCATAGACATAAAATCAGTTCTACACGACAACATTAGAATGAACAAACTAGAAGGTATTTGCAACACGTAACAAGATGATGGATTTGTTATGCAAACTATAGAAGGAACTCACAGAAGTTCAATGGGAAAAAACAGGCAAAATTATGAATGGACAATTCTATATAATTCTGTAATTCTACATAATCTATAAAATAGCTAGAAAATATTTGAAAAGATCATCTCTTCAATGATACAGAAAATAAAGTACAGCCCTGGCCGGTTTGGCTCAGCGGTTAGAGCATCGGACTGCGGTCCGGAGAGACCCGGGTTCGGTTCCCGCTAAGGGCACGTACCTTGGTTGCAGTTTGTCCCTGGCCCTGGTTAGGTCGTGTAGGTGGCAACCACTCGATGTGTCGCTTTCACGTCGATGTTTCTCTCTCTCTCTCTCCCTCTCACTCTATCTGAACAAAATATCGAAAAATGTCCTCGGGTGAGGATAAAAAAAAAAAAAAAGAAAGAAAAGAAAAGAAAGTACAAAGCAATAATTAAACACCATTTTACACACATTATAATGGTCCAAAAAAGGCTTACCAATACCAAATGCTGTTAAGAACATGGAGGAAACAGGAACTCCCACAATGGGAGGTTACTTTGGGAAGATTTTTGGCAATATCTGTAAACATGAAAATGAACATCGCCTACAACCTGAGAATTCTATTTTATCCATATTATCCGGGAAAACAATTATGAAACTTTGACGTGCTGAATGTTGGGATGCATGTTGGTACAAATTCTCTGTGCTTTTGTATTTTCTTTGTACACGTTTTCAAAGGCACAGATGTATGAGAGACACCGGCTCATTTAGGAATCTGATATAGTCTCTGTTGCTTTAAAAATTAATGTTTTTGCCATTCAAGGTTATCAGTTTTAAATTTTTCTCTCCTGTTTTTCCCCCTTACTATTTTCATGCCATCGGTTCAGATTCTTTATTATAGTGAAGGACTGTATTCGTGGAGGACCCGAGAAAGTGAAACAAAAAGGGAAAAAAAAGAATATAAAAGGCCATCAGAAATTCTTACAAGTTCACTAATGGCCAGCACTCTCCAGATTGGAGAACACAGAGTTAGAATTGGGCTAGCCCCTCTCATCCATATCTGCCTGAGAATATCAGGGTTTTTAATTTCTCCCAATGTTCAGCATGAATACTAATAAAAAACCTATTGACTGGTTCTATTCCTTTTACAGACAATATAAAAAAGGATATGAACTTCGTCAGAAAAAATGGGCCCACATTCCTCCTGAAAACATCTTTCCTCTGGAGACCAATGAGACCAACCATGTTAGCCTGAAGGTAAGCGCACCTTCCCTTCTGAAGAATTCTGTCTGGAGCTGGGGCAGCTTGCCAGGTGATTGACAAGATTGGTAGCATGGTAGGAAATGTGCCAAGCAGGGATTGTTTCAGAACCCAAGACTTAGGTGTTATTTCACTCACAGCTTGAAACGTCCCTACGTCCCTAGGTGGTAAGTTTTAACCAGTATTATGATAGATCACAGGTTTTTAGGAGAGTCAAATTGAAAGATGCAATAGTTCTCAACCTTTCTTCTGCCTTGAGAAGTCGGGTAGACCAAGGGCTTGTCTGGCCTGTAAGGGTGTGTGTGTGTGTGTGTGTGTGTGTGTGTGTGTGATCTTTTAAAATTAATTGCCAAATGTAAAAGTCTTGGAATGGCCTAGAAGAATTCGTATTACCAGCTTCTTCTGACAATTCAGATGATCCAGCACCCCGGAGCTGATGGGGCTGCTCCCCTCAGATTCCTTGCCCAGTGTCCTCACTTGCACTGCTACTTCGGCCTGGAGTTAGAGAGTGCGGTTTGCAACTCTAGTGCACAACATGTTCCCCTGAGGCAGCTGTCTGCAGCTGTCTGCAGCTGCCTCCCAATCGGAGGGGCAGGGAGAGATGGAAGCCAGAGCAGCCCTGGCTGAAGTAGACCACAGGAAGGGAGGGACGGTGGGACTCCATGGGGAAGGGAGTTAATCGGGAGAGTGGTAGACACCGGGAAAGAAGGTATTGTTGGGGAGGAAAGGCAAGTTGTGAGAAACACAAGTCGGGTGTCAGCTTCTGGAATAATTCGCCTTTTCTTGTGCCAGATCGATGATGACAAGAGACGAGATACAATTCAGAGACTACGACAGTGCAAATACGACAAAAAGGTGACTGTAGTCTCCCCTGCTTCTCTGAACCCTCAGGGTCCTGGGCCTTCTGACTCATCACTGCCTCACGTCTGATGCTGGGAGGGCAAAGGCCGGGTGGGTGCCCGGCTGCGCCCAGGGGCTGCTCTTGGGCCCTTTCACAGAGACGGGCAGGGCTTTGTTTCAAGGGTAACAAACTCACAATCCTGGAAAATTAAAGAACACAGAATTGTTAAGGCAGCTGGAGTGTAGGAAGCAAGAGGAAAAATGAAAGCAATTCAGAGCAGTCCAGGCAATCCTGGTATTGTTTCGGCTCATTCCACAGGCATATGACAATTTCACATGGGGTTTCTTTCTTCTTTCCTTCTCATCTAGTCATTCTTTTTTTTTTTTGCATGCCCTTAGTGGGAACTGAACCCAGGACTCTCTGGTCCGCAGGCCAACGCTCCAACCACTGAGCCAAACCGGCCAGGGCACATCTAGTCATTCTTAAAGAAACATTCAAACCTGAGCCTCTCATTATCCGAGGTACTAGGCACCAGGGACACAAACATCAACAAAATAATGCTGCTGCTCTCAAGAGCTTACAGAGTGGGAAGGTAGACACACAAACAAAATATGGTAATATGCACAGAAATAGTCACGCTACAACATTATGTTCTTAATTCAACTGGTGTTTGCAGAGAGTGATTCTAAAGGATCTCAAGCACAATGATGGCAATTTCACTGAGAAGCAGAAGATAGAATTGAACAAGGTATGTGTCCCTTGCTTGAAACCCTTGAGTGAGAAATAGCTTCACTGCATTTTCCCTAAGCACTGAGGTCCCTGGCGGAACAAGGCATTACTGGGGAAGCTGACACAGAAGCCCTCAGGTCAAGAAATAGGTGGCTATCCTTCTTCCTGTTGAAAATTCTACCAACAGATGTTGAAGAGTGATGTTTGATGGTATAAAATGTGTTGGAAATCTACTAGCATGTCTACTAAATGGTCCTGATATTTGTTAAGAGTAGTCAAAGGTTTGTATTCAAGTCCGCTTGCTGACGAAAGACTGTTTAATAAGATGCATTTTGCAATGTGTAATAAGAAGCGTACTGACATTCCAAATCTCCTTTCCAAAGATCTAAATCCCATGTTTTATTAGCATATTAATTTTTTCTCTGGTACTCCTTTCTGGCTGACTTGCTTTGTAAATTAACATGTTATCTTAGTTGCTTCAGATCGACTATTACAACCTAACCAAATTCTACGGAACAGTGAAGCTTGATACCATGATCTTTGGGGTGATTGAATACTGCGAGAGAGGATCCCTCCGGGTAAGGAACAGTGATCATTTCCAATTTCCTAATTGGTCAACCATATAGAAAAAAAAAATCTAGAAGTTTTAGATGTCCACCCAGTGGAATAGTATCAGAAAGGTATCCGGAAAAGTTGGTGTGTCCATGTGTTACCAAACTAGATCGCTCAGATTTTGTCAATCAGTCTTATTATATCTTTACCAAAAAAGTGAAAATAAGTATTCAGGAGTGTAGACTTGAGAAAACAGAGAACAGATGTGGATAAGTGATCAATTGCTTCTAAATTCATTTTTACTTTACTTGCACAGCTACCTGATATGTATTCAAAGAAAAATTGATGGTCATTATGATAGCACCAAATAAGCGTTAGGAAACTTGCTCCTAAATCCTGGTTCTACCACTGTATAAATTCCTCCCATCCTTTCCCTTGTGAGGGTTTGAGGCTGGCCCCGGTGTCGCCAGGTGGGGTCAGGTACTCTGACTGAGCAAGTTCAAAGCAGAATGAGAAGGTAAGACAACTAAGTCAAGTTCTTGGGAAAGAACCAAGCATCAAGTAGGATATCAAATCATTAAATAGTTCAGAAGGGCAAGCCTATACAAGAAACAGTCATTTACAAGAAACAAAACCATGTGTGAAGCAGAAACAGGACTAAATGGGAAAAGCAGAGGAGAAGGAAGGAATGAGGGTCATTGAAATATTTGAACCTCACCTTGAGCAGTTTCTGGGCATTTGTTTTGAGGGCTTTCAGCCTTTTAAATACCTTTGGGTTGGTGACTGCATAATTTATCAGGATACTTTGAGAGTAAAGGGGGTGCTATCACAATTGTTGGAATAGCAGACATAAATTGCAACTGACCTCAAGCAAACCAAGATGTGCCTTTGGACTATTTTCAGACTCAGTATCTCTTCATAACCTCAGTATTCTCCCCCATAACAAAGCCAGAATCCTAAGATTGGGGGCAGCAGCAGCTTCCAAGAGGTCCAAATATTCATAATTCAATAATATTTAAAAATAATTTTTAAAATTTAAACTAGCCCCTTAGAAACTTTTAATTTTTTAATAAGCTTCCATCAAAAAAAAAAAACAAAAAAAAACAAGAATAGTCATTTTCAAATTGTATGGTATAAACTCAAATCTATCCTCAAAGAAAAAAAAAAGAATCATAGCCCTAAATGCTACCCTCTCTTTTTTATAAAAATAAAATAATCTAAGTATTCAATACAAAATTTAGAAGAATAACTATGGCCTAAGGAAAAGAAACTTTCAAAATTCAATCATTATCAAATAGGTAGAATTTTAAAGTGCACTTATTAGCCTTGGCTGGTTTTGCTCAGTGGTTAGAACATTGGCCTGTGGACCAAAGAGTCCCGGGTTCGATTCTGACCAAGGGCTCGTACCGCGGTTGTGGTTCGTCCCAGCCCTGGTTGGGGTTGTGTGGGAGACAACCAGTTGATGTGGCCCTCTCACATCAATGTTTCTCTCTCCCTGTCTCTCCCTCTCTGTGTCTCCCCCTCTGTCTGAAGATAAATAGAAAAATATCCTCAGGGTAGGATTAAAAAGAATAATAATAAAGTATACTTATGAGTTGTTTACTTTTTTAAAGTTATAAAACATATAAGCCTCTCATACTTCTAATTAAAACTCAAAACAAACATAAAAATAAGCATAAGTGGAAATAAAAAAATAAAGCTATTAAAAAGATGCTTTCAATTGTGAAAGACTACTTCAAGACTATTAAATTATAAAATATATATATATTTTAGAAGCAATATTATCATGAAAAGTTGACTCAAAAAGTAAAAACTTAAGTAGGCCAATAACAATAGAAAAAGTTGTAATTTCCATTACAAAGAAGAGCAGCTTTGGCTTAATCCTAAACTTCAATAAATAATTCTGTGTCTACATAAATACTGTTCTAAAGTTAAGCAAAAACATGAACATCTAAATTCATTTAACATTCAGCAAAGCTAGCATATAGTTGATAATAAAATATGATTAAAGACTAACTATATTTAGGAATATTGATGAAAAAATTATAAATAGAAAACTAGGAATTCTAAGCCAGTTGTATATAAGGAGCATAGTACAATCAGATGTGGTTAATTCAATGAATGGACAAAATATTACTCTAATGCATCATATCAAAAGGTCATAGAAAAAACGTCACTGGAGTAGGACCATATGATCATTTTAACTGATGCTGAAAATGATCATTTAAATTAAAATTTTATCATTTAAATAAAACATTCCTAATGATAATGATAATATGAGGGCTATACCATACTCCAATTCATTTAATGTATTTTTTTAAGGAAAAAAACCCTGCTAATTTAATTAAATACAATATCACTTATTAATACACACACACATGCACACACACACACACACACATATTTAGTAGTTTTCCAATGTCGTCTTTTATTTTACATTAAAGAAAAAAACTTTTTGCTCTATTAGAAAAACATTTTTCAGTAGATAGTTTCAGTTTTTGTTTTTTTATTTTTATTATGCACTTATTTATTTATTTATTTATTTTTACAAATATTTTAGAATACCAGTTAACAAATCCTGGTCAAGGGTTTCACAGTCTTTTATTCCCTAAAATGCCCAGTGAACATTTAGATATCATACCCTTAGTTTTTTGTTCTTGTTTTTGTTTTTTTTGCTCTCTACTCTCAGGTGGGAAACTTCAGTTGTATGAGTGGTCCTGGGCCCCCTGCTGACATGCTCACTCACCCTGGGCTCAGACAAAGGAAGTTTCTCCAGGAAACCACTCCTTCCTACCATGAACCTCAAAGCTAAGACTCTGCACAGGCAAATGGCAGTCCCCTCCCTGGGTCATCCCTTTAGGCTCCAACCATGGCAAATCCCATCAGAACCTACTTTTTTGTGAGGAAACAAATAAGAAAGTTTCTCCCTAGATGGGGTAAAGACAGTCGGCTTCCTATCTTAGAAATATGTAATAACCTTGGCTAATCTTGTTTAGGAACAGTTGATTCATTCATGCAACAAGTATTTATTAAACAAATATTTATTCTAAGCCAGACACTGACCGAGATGTTGCAGTGAACAAAAATTATTACAAAGTTTACATGTTCATGAGCTGAAGAGATAAACATAAACAAAATATAGAATATGTCAGGTGCTAAGGGAAAGAATTACTTTAGAGTCTGTCTGTTCATAATTCCCCTCCCTTAACTTGATCTGGTACCTCCAGCCCAGCCAGCCTTATCTGAAATGAATTATGACTGTGGACCCTTTGCTGGAAATTACTGGTACAGTGCCTGAGTTAAAACTAAAGGTCAAATTGCACTTTTTCCCAAAACAAGGAACTATTGTTAGGTTATTAGAATTTTAATATGAAGAATTGTTATTAGCTCAAAACCATCATCTTGTTTAGGTAGTGAGTTCAAAATTCTAGTTCATACAATTCACACAAAATCTAAGAACTCTGTCTTATTGACAGAGGACTCAGTAAACTTTAGAAAAAAAACCCAAAAAACTTAGAACTATAAAGCCAAAGGATGCAATTGATCATGTAAGTAAAAACATAAGCCTAGTGAATGAATTTCCTAACAGCACTCGTGTAAATGCTTGTTTAAAAAACACTTGTGTGCCCTGGCCGGTTTGGCTCAGCGGTTAGAGCATCGGCCCGCGGACCAGAGAGTCCTAGGTTCGGTTCCGTTAAGGGCAGGTGCCTTGGTTGTGGTTTGTCCCCGGCCCTGGTAGGGGTTGTGCGGGTGGCAACCAGTCAATGTCTCTCTCGCATCAATGTCTCTCTCTCTCTCTCTCTTCTTCCCTTTCTCCCTCCCGCTCTATGTGAGGATAAATGCAAAAATGTCCTCAGGTGAGGATAAAAAAATAAAAAATAAAATAAAAAACACTTGTGTAATTTTGATGAGACAAGACCTGCCGCCGATTCCCTGATTTGGGCCCACCACCTACGGTCCAGGCAGGTGTCTGCTCATCTGCTCATTCATTCACCCCTGTCAAGTGAAAGAACCAGGATTTGGGATACTACTGGTATCTCCGGCTCACATCCTTGTCATGAAAACCACCTAGTGTTTTTATTTTTTATTTATTTTTTTATTGATTTTAGAGAGAGAGGAAGGGAGAGGGAGAGAGGGAGAGAAACATCGATGGAAGAGAACATCGACTGGCCGCCTCCTGCATGCCCCTCACTGGGGATTGGGCCCACAACCTGGGCATGTGTCCTGACCGGGAATCGAACTGGCAACCTCTTGGTGCATGGGTCAAAGCTCAACCACTGAGCCACACTGGCCAGACCACCCAGTGTTTTTAAGTAGGAAGGAAAAGAAATACAGGGTGGGGCAAAAGTAGGGTTACAGCTGTTTGTATGGAAAATAATACAATAGTTAATAAATAATAATACAAGAATAAACTCTGTGTTTCTCATACTCACAACTGTAAATCTGCTTTTTTCCCTACCCTATGTATGTTCAGGAAATCCAGGACAACAGAGTTCCAATTTATTCCTGAGTCCAAGACCTCATGATTAGAAGATCATTTTTTGCCTGTAATAGTCTCTCCACAATATCCCTCCTTGCAATAACTCATCTTCCTTTCCTTTTTCTCCTGTTCAGGAAGTTTTAAATGACACAATTTCCTACCCTGATGGTACATTCATGGATTGGGAGTTTAAGATCTCTGTCCTGTATGACATTGCCAAGGTGAGAGACCTACAAACACAAAAGACATCTATAAAATTACATTTAGAAAAACAGATGTAGCAAGCTACTCAACTTCTCTGTGCAATGATTTCTTCATTTGTAAACTGATAATAAAAAATAGTACTTAGGTCATAGGGTTGCTATATTTTAGGAAATGATACATATGCTTCGCATAGGCCTGGTACAAGTAAATGTTCAATATATATATATTGGTTCTTTTTTTTAAAATTTATCTTTATTGTTGAATATATTGTTTCTTATTCTTCTTATATGCTTTCTAATCTGGGTTTGAGGCATACATTTTCATAGACTTGCTGAAAATCAAAATCATATAAAGCTTCAGGGAGAAGAACTCAATCTTTCACTTCATAAGAGAAAATATTAAAGACAGGCAACCATCTTGCATGAGGCAGAAATAAATCTGGACTAGTATATTCCCAGACACGGAATATCAGTAACCAGGGCCTCGTTCAAGAATGAAGAAAAGTCGGTCCCAGAAGTGTAGTGAGCTCTTTGGTACAGTCTTAAATCTCCCCTCCACATAGGATCAGAATCAGTTTGTAAATGTTATATGATACCCTGTTTGCTACATACCACTCCTGGGATCCAGGCTGAAAACCAGTGTCTGCAATGACATCTCTGGCCAGCAGAGGGAAGCACACCAGCGAAAAACAGGCTTTCCCTTTCAAAATAGAATGAAACCCATTCAATTTTAGGAACTAATCTAGCCCAGCCCCTCCTTTCAGACTAGCAAGGCCTTATTATGCGTATTTTTAATTGAATTGAGGTAGCAGAGGACCAGATATACTGAAGGTCACAGACCAAATAAGTGGCAAGAGAAAACACTTTAAAAAATAGAATCAACCTTTTGCTTTATATTCTATATAACTATTTAATCAGTCTTTAGAAAATTGCCTTTTTTATAATTCCCTTTATTTTATTTTATCATTTTTTCCCATCACCATTTATCCCCCTTATACCCTCTTCCACCTCCATCCAACCCCCTCCAGCCCCGCAGTTCATTGCGCCAGTATTTACAATAGCCGAAATTTGGAGGCACCCCAAGTGTCCCTCTGTAGATGAGTGGATAAAACAGCCGTGGTACATTTACACAAGAATACTATTCAGCCGTAAAAAGGAAGAACGTTTTACCCTTTGCGACAGCATGGATGGACCTGGAGAACATTATGCTAAGTGCAATAAGCCAGTCAGAGAAAAACAAGTACCATATGATTTCACTCCTATGTGGAATCTAATGAACAAACTGAACTACCAAGCAAAAATAGAGAGAGACTCATAGATAGAGAACAGGCAGACAACTGAGGGAGGGGGGGATGTTGGGGTGGGGGGATTGAGCAAAAAAAGAGGGAAAAAAAAAAGACAATTGCTTTTTACCGTATCACCTAAATAGATTTTTAAACTAGATGTACTGCTTAGGCAAATACTAGGGCCTTAATATTTTTAAAGTAAAATAATAGCACTAAGTTTAAAATCTGATAGTGTGATTCTATCTGAATGCCGAAATAATTTCAAAAGGTCATTTCTTTCTTTAAAATAATCAAGCAGAGGCAGTGTCTTATGTCTTTGCTGTCATCTGAAAAATTACAGGGGATGTCATACCTGCACTCCAACAAGACAGAAGTGCACGGCCGTCTGAAATCCACCAACTGTGTGGTGGATAGCAGGATGGTGGTGAAGATCACGGATTTCGGCTGCAATTCCATTCTACCTCCGAGGAAAGGTCTGGAAAGAATGAAATGTTAACTGGTTTCCCACTGATCTTTTTCTTTTTTTCATAAGCCCATATAATGAGCTCAGGAAACAGAGAGACAGATCAGAAAGTTAATAGTTGAAGCCACAAGAGGCAACAGCTGGCTGGTTCTCCAACACTTCACCCTGGCCAGTTTTCAACAAGTGCTTCTTGAGTTGACTGAATCTCCTCTGTGGATTTCTTTTATCTGTGTCCCTTCATATCAGTGAGAAATCATGAAGAATTTATTAGCTTGTGGAAGCATAACTGGGTGAAAAAATGGAGATGATGGCAGTAGTAAGAGGTCTTAGAAATCATCTAGTCTAACCTGCTTTTTTTTTTTTTTTAATAAAAGACAGAATAGCCCTGGCTGGTTTGGCTCAGCGGTTAGAGCATCGGCCTGTGGTCCAGAGAGACCCAGGTTTGGTTCCTGCTAAGGGCGCGTGCCTCGGTTGCAGTTTGTCCCCGGCCCTGGTTGGGTCGTGTGGGTGGCAGCCATTCTATGTGTCCCTTTCACGTCAATGTTTCTCTCTCTCTCTCTCTTTCTGTCTCTCCCTCCCACTCTATTTGAACAAAAAATGGCAAAATGTCCTTGGGTGAGGATAAAAAAAAACAAAAAAGACAGAATAAAGATTCAGAGAGGGAGATTTGCCCAAGCAAAGAGAGCACAAAGCAGAAGACCCATTTCCAAATTCTAAACATCGTTTATTTATCTGTGGTAAGGATAAGAAAAACCTCTTCTCAGTAAAATGTATTCTTATCTCTTTTAAGATTGTGATAAGGGTCCAAAAAACGTAGCACAAAGAGATGATTTGTAAAGTATAGAGTTTTTGTGTCGAACAAACATTTACACATTCTTTTTGATGACTCAGGGTTATAGACTCAGAAATCTAGCACTCATACCACCTAGATCCAAACAGTGAATTCCACATCTAATTATATTCTGCAATTTTTTAGTTTTTCCCTAATAGAATAAAATTACAAGTCTGTCCCTAATTTCTTCAGTCACATCCAGCATGCTAGACCTTAGATTCAACCTAGTAAGTGCTTGTTTGAAGACCTACTGTGTGCCAACCATGGTTCATCATGTAGTGGGAAAAAAATCTCCTTCATTAGATGACTCACCATGACAGAAAATCACATGAATTACAGGTCAAATCCTGTCCACCTGAACATCATTCAGTTACAATAACCTATCTGTGCTGTCAGTCACCTGAATTTTAGTATAAGTAGATGTACCTACCTTTCCTACAACTCCAACCCAATAGCATCAATTGTACATGAATCACAAGTCACACAAAGCCACAAGACATAAATTCAAAAAGGCAATGAACATTTGCATGCAAAATCACATGAGGAAAATATGCCTTATCATAAGCCTATCACTATACCCGGCAACACGATTCTATAGATTTTATTCATTGAAACTGCCAAAGAAGCAAATCTCAAAAAGTTCACAAGGAGTTAGGGGATCCTAGGAAAACTTAAAGGGATGCTGGAGAACAATTATATGCCCTGTTATCACTAAAGTAGGTAATGTGATAGGGGTCCAAAACCCAAGTAGCTGTACGAGCCAAACTCAGAAGCGAGGAGCACTTCACCTGTGTGACGTGGACCAGATGGGAAGCACTGGAGAGTATCAGGCACTGGAGAGTCCATTGTTTGCAGCATGTTTTGAAGAATACTGTGGGAACCAAAGCATCTCTATGGAGGCAGCCAAGATGTCACATTTGGAAAACATCAGTCATAGTCTTCTTGTTTGAATGTGCTGTCTTTATTCTTTTAGTAAATAGATTTTTATATAATATAAAATACAGAAATGTATTTAATATTTACAAAGGCTTTCCTAGGTTTCTGCCTTATGTCCCACAAGCTGTTAAATCCTCTCAGCCACTCGCATTCTAGTGCATTCATCCCACAAATCCTCACGAGCACTTCCTGTACACCAGGTGCTACTCTAGGAAGACCTTAGGGTGTTCAGGACTATGGTGCTAGCAGTGTTAGGGAAGACATTGCCACGTGACCTCACACCAATCCTGGCATTACATAGTCAGCATAAAAGGTAAGTGTGTGTTCTACCCTTCACCATGATTAGCATAAACTCCCCCAAAGTCTGGGACATACGAACTCAAGGCCCCTCACATTCAGGTGCATGGTGTAGTGACTTCAAGAACAAAAGCAGGTTAGAGACGATGGGCCGCTCACCCCCTTAACTTTGCCATTTCCATGCCGAATGCCCAGACCTGTGGACCGCCCCCGAGCACCTCCGCCAAGCCAGCATCTCTCAGAAAGGGGATGTGTACAGCTTCGGGATCATCGCGCAGGAGATCATCCTGCGGAGAGAGACCTTCTACACACAGAGCTGCCGGGACCAGAATGGTAAGAGGCTGGCCCCTTGTCTGCCCCGCTCTGGCAGCCGGCCAGCCTGCGGTCTAGGCTGCAGAGACCCCACGCTCTGTGACCACATCTCTGTCCCTGGGCTGCAAAAGCAGTGGCTCGTCTGCACCCCACGTTTCTCAGGGGTTTGGGAAGGGTCGGATGAATGACTCAGAGTGCCCTGAAGAGCATAAGACCATATTCCACTGCCACGTGTCACCGCTGCCAGAATTACTGTTAAAGAACCATCCCTGCAATTTCCCTCTTCCTTCTGATTCCAGTCATGTGTCTGTTTAACACCTGAACTAGATCACTCGAGTGGGACAACATACACATTTAAGTTCCTATTGAGATTTGTGGGTTTTGTCACATGTGCTCTTGGGGCCCGGATGTTTCAACGTTTCATTCCATTCGTTCACTCCTCACTTGCTGAGCACTTACTCGTGCCAGCTCTTCACTGTCTGGGGTGCGAGGAGGCTAAGGGATGTCGGGATTGCAGGCTGGAGGAAGCCCACTGACGGCAGTGGTATCCGAGTTGAGTCGTATTGGGTCAGTAGCCTTAACTTGTAGCCTCCTGGGCATGAGTGGGTATGAGACCCCTTTGCCTGGTGGTCCATCTGCTCGTCAGCTCCCACCTGCTGACTGCTGGCCGAGGCTCTGCAGCGCCCTCGCGGGGCGCCGTGCGGAGTCGGTGCACCAGTTCAGAATCTGACTGCTGCGAAGACTTCTTCATGCTGCATTCTTTCTTGTCATTTGAATTGTTCTCGTCCCATCAGAGAAGATTTTCCGTGTGGAGAGTAACAACGGAGTGAAGCCCTTCCGCCCAGATCTGTTCCTGGAAACAGCCGAGGAGAAAGAGCTGGAAGTGAGTTTCTCTGGGCCACTGGAACAAATGGCCGCAACCGTTAAGGGTTAAAACACCAGAAATGTATTTGCCGGAGGCCAGAAGTCTGACATACATTGTCAGCAAGATCATGCTTCCTCTAAAGGCTCCAAGGGAGAATCCCTGCCTTGATACTTCCAGCAGCGTCTGCTGGCTGACTTTCCCTGGCTTGTGGCCCAAACACTCCGTCTCTGACTTGGTGGCAGCCCCGTCCTTCTCCCCTCTCCGCTTCTGTCTAATTTCCCTCTTTCTCCCTCCTGTCTAAGGATGCGTGTGACTACAGTTGGGCCCACCAAGATAATACACAATAACATCCCCATTTCAGGATTCTTAATTGAATCACACCTGCAAAGTTCCTTTTTCCCAATAAGGTCACATCCTCAGGTCCAGGGGTTGAGGCACGGACATATCTTTGGGAGCCGTCATCAGCCTGCCACCTGCCCTTGTCTGTCCCCCCGCCCACCCCCAACTCAGGAGAGAGCTGGATCCTTAAGCACCCATCACAGTCTTAATTTCTAGGAGCTAACAGAGCTCCATGTGATACACTGACTAGGCTTATAAATACTACCTCGTGATTGACAAATAAGCCTGCCAACATCTGGAAGCAGCAGGAAGCGTGCTACGCGCCTTCTGTTCTTCATGTGAAGAAAATGCAGCTTCTCTCCCTGCATTTGTTCAGTTTGTTAATAATCCCTCACAAAGGCTTCTAAATTATTTTTTAGAATTTTATCTGAGCTTTTATAATTCCCAAAGATAGTCAATAAAGTGTTTTAAAAGTTTTTATGGTCTTAAAAAAAAAAATCGTGTTTGTTCCTTATGGATAAAGATAAAAACATTTTCCTTCAAGTTATAAGAACCCTTCCAGGTGACGTTTATGGCCAGCCTAGCTGGGGACGGATAAGCCATTTCTGCCTCTCCTCTCCTTTCTTCAACATTAAAGACAGGCTGTAGCCCCAAGGTTCTAAAACCGAACTGCTCCTGTCCTGGTCTTATTCTATGCCCCAGCCCTGCCTTTCTAGTTCCTGGGATTCCTCCCCACGCCAGCATATCCCTTCTCAACAACACTCCTTTCTGGTCGGCATAAAGCCAAATGTTGCTTAAAACCTTTTCACCAAAGCGTTCTCCTCCATTCACTCATGTAGTTGGATGGTTCTGGAATTGGACGTCAGAAAAGATTTCATATCTAGTAGCTGGTTCCAGTGGAATACAGGCCTGAAATTAGATGGCTTGGCAATGCCCCCAGAGCACTGCTGCTTCCCTGGGTGCTGCTGCATCAGCCCGTTGGTGGGCTGCGTCTGCCCAGGCCTCTCTAAGGCCGCAGTAGGTCAGTCACCAAGGCAGGGGCCTCATGCAGTGGTGAATCAGCAGCCAGCGGCTACACCATGCAGCTAGATGTCCCAGCGACTCGCCAAGGAAAAGAACACAGGCAGGGACTGCATCTAGTACCATTCGCTATCCTATTTTTGGCCAAAATGAAGAACAAACTTTATATAAGATATGGTTTTCACCATGCTTTTTGATCCAACAAAAGCTGCAAACCAGTAGTAGTAAATGATGTTTCCATGAGCTTCCTCATGTCTTCTTCTTCCCCTGGACCACCCCTTCCTCACTTCTCTTATATATATGTATTAACAATATGTATAATACATATCATCATAATTATAATTATATTATCTGTAATTATCATTATATTATATAGTTATAATTATATTAATTATCATATATAATTAATATAATTATATTCTTTAATATGTACTAAACATTATATATTAATATGTAGTAATAATTATTATACATCGTATTGTCCTTTACCCATTTAATATTTGGGATGTACTTAAGCGAAAGAAATTATTTCTTTCTGAAATTCTAGTTTAAGTGGGTGTCCTAATATTTTTATTTGGTAAATCTAAGAGCCCTAAGGCTCCTTCCCAAACCAATTAAATCAGAACCTCCCAGGGTGGAGCCTGGGCAAAAAAATGTTGTAAAGTCTCCCCGGTGATTCCGCTGTTAGCCAGGGAGAAAGACGCTCCAAAGTGCCTCGTTCTCATTCAGTCACTGTCTCCCTCACTGAGCACAGCTGTTTCTCGTTCTCCCCAGCATACACCCTGCACATGCATGTAAAGATTTTCGCTCCCATCGATCTAGCCTTTTCCAAATCAATATGCCTTTTGTCATTAAATCAGTGTCCAAGGGAAGGCCTTAGGCAAGACCGGGCAGGAGGCTGACACACTGCAGACAGCTCATCGACCTTCCTCAAGAGCTTCCTCCTTGTCGGAGTTGAGATGTTTTTAAAATAGTCCCTGACTCAGTGACTCCCATCAAAGAAGAAAACGGGATAAGATGTCACCCCTGAGCTACTCCACTCCTTTCTTCCAGGTATATCTACTTGTGAAAAACTGCTGGGAGGAAGACCCAGAGAAGAGACCAGATTTCAAGAAAATTGAGAGTACACTGGCCAAGATATTTGGGTATGGCTGACATTTTTACTTTTTCGCACTGATTTCAGATTTTCCTAACAGCAGCTGACCTTCAGTGGCACCTAAGAGTGAGAATGCCTGTTCTGATGAAAAGCCCAGACTGCAGCGCCTGTCTCCAAAAAAGTAAAACGATTTGGAGACTAACACCATTTTCTCAGGGAAATAACCACTTGAAAAGTTAAAATCCTCAAGGGCAAAACTTGCCTGATTAAAAACTGACTAATCATAAGTATGTCTAAAAACATAGTTCCCTGCCCCTTCTGCAGATAATTGGAATTTAGAAGTCAGTAATGTAAAGTGCCTGGTAATTCTTACGATCAGCACGTTTCTTAGAATTTTTAAATCTTAAAAAAAAAAAAATTGTCTTAGGATTGGCAACTTTGGCCCTAAGTACTTAAGTCAGTACTGTAAAGTGCCTGGTAATTCTTACAATCAGCACATTTCTTAGAATTTTCAAATCTTAAAAAAAAAAAAATAACACACAACTGTCCAGTAAGATAGAATGCCAGATCTCTCGTGTTTTCTGTTAGACACGGTGCAGAGTGAGAAAATCACACTGGGTGAGAGAGGAGATGCAGTGTCTGCCCTCAGCTCTAATACCAGCGTGCTGTGGGACCCTGGGCAAAACACGGGCTTACCCTGACTGGGTGTCAGTTTTCTTGTTAGGAAAATTGAACTGAAGCAAGATCATCTCTACAGTTCCTTCAAGCTCTTAACTTTCTGTAGTTCTCATTAAGTTATTCAGATACTTAACGAGGATAAAAGCCCAGGGCTGGAGACAAGGTAGAGGGAAGTTAATCAAAGTGAGGTCATTGATTTGGTAGATCTAAACTGTCATTTGGAGGAAAAAAGCAGGAAATAATAAGCAGTGTAATTCTTGCCCACTTCTCATTGCTTCACAAACCTGTTACTAAGAGCAGGTGAGATTGTGTGTGTGTGATCAATGGAATGTAAAGTCTTGAAGATAAACTGGGCCCCTGATGTCTACCCTAAAGAATCGGATGTCATTGATCTAGGGAGTAGGCCAGCATCCGGACTTTTAACAGCTCCTGAGATCCCTAAAATGTGCAGCCAAGGTTGAAAAAACTTTTAATTGGATCAATTCATCTTGAAGTAAAATATCCATCTTCATCCCTTACACTACACCCTCTCCCTTTCTACCAACTAGACTGGATACTAGGCGTTTCTAGTAAGAAGCCCCTGGAGAGCATGTTTAAAATTCCATTTCTTAATCCCAAGCCTAGCAGTTTCCAGTCAGATAGGTCTGTAACAGGACTCTGCAATGTGTCGATTTTTTTTTTTTTAAATCCTCGTCTGAGGACGTTTTTCCATTCTTTGTTCAGATAGAGTGGGAGAGAGAGAGAGAGGAAGAGTGAGAGAGAGAGAAACATCCATGTGAAAGGGACACGTCGAGTGGCTGCCTCCCGCACAGCCCTGACCCAACCGGGGCTGAGGACAAACTGCAACCGAGGTACGTGCCCTTAGCGGGAAAGGAACCCGGGTCTCTCTGGACTGCAGGCCAACGTTCTAACCGCTGAGCCAAACTGGCCAGGGCTCAAAGGTCGATTTTAACAAACATCCCTCCCCACCCCAGGGGATCATGATGTAGGCCATCTTCTCCTACAGTGTGGAGTGGCAACATAATTGTTGCTGTAGCAATAATGAAATGGTATGATTTGTTCAGCCCCTTCAATTGTGCCATCTAGGTTACAAACTTTATCGACCCCCAGGACTCTGCAGGATCTCAGAGTGCCTGTGACACAGCTCTGCATCAAAGCTTGTTACATGCCACAGGTCACAGAAAGCTGACATCTCCTCTAAGTCTCCCTGGCCTGACAAAATAATCTGGAGTTAGGTATTTTGCTTTAGGACCCTGGCTCTCCATTCTGAGGAGATAATATAAGGCTCAACTTTGCTTTTCTTGGTCATATGCTTCCATTTGTCACCTCTAGAGTTTTGTGTTTCTTTTAAGGTTTTTTTATTTATTGCAAATTATGTATTATTAAAATTTTGGAAAATGAATATGCAAACACAAAAGTACAAACATTCACCTGTTTATTAAGTAGATGACCACCAGTTTTTAAAAATTAAACATGAGATTATAGGTTTTGCTATTTTATAAACTGAGTTTTTTCACTGAGGGATGTAGAGGTAGTATCATTCTGTGTTTAACTATTCTAATTCATATTTAATTACACACCAGTACTCCACTGTACCATAATAGTTTAACTACTTTTTGGTAACCCATTTAGGTTATTTTCAAATGTTTGCTGTTGTAAAGAATGCTGTGACTTTCTTTGTAGTTAACTTTCAGCACATTCATGATTATTTCCTTAGGATAGTTTCTAGAAGCAGAGTTGATGGGCTAATTGGTATGTGTTTTCTTAAAGTTATGATACATTTGACCACATTGCCCTCTAGGAAGGTTGTATGAATATATTTCCTCCTTCTTACCTACATTGATTACCATTGTTCTAACATTTGTTTTTTTAATATTATTTTTATTTCCATTTCATTTTCCTGAGGTTAAATTTTTGTGTGTGTTCAGTCATTTTTATTTTTTCTTTCTTTAATTACTTGTCCATCGTATTTGCCCATTGTTATAATGGATGTCATGTTTTCCTAACAACGTAGAAGAGCTCTTTATCTATTACTACCCACAGCCTTTTTCATGACCAGAAAAGTGAAAGTTATATGGATACCTTGATTCGACGTCTACAGCTATATTCTCGAAACCTGGAACATCTGGTGGAGGAAAGGACACAGCTGTACAAGGCAGAGAGGGACAGAGCTGACAGACTTAACTTTATGTTGCTCCCAAGGTAAGGCAGTCATCCTGCTGATGTGGTTTCCCATGGCAACACAGCCCCGCCTCATACTTAAAGCTGAGAGCGTTAGCATATTCATCTAGCATTGTTTTTCTTTGTATTTAGGATTGTTCCTTTTTGCATATTCCTTTTTGTTTTATATATATATACACATACATATAAATGTGTGTGTGTGTGTGTGTGTGTGTATAAATTGTTGACTGCATTACAGATGTTCTCTATTTCCCCCCTTCCTTTGCCTCTATCCTCCCAGCCCCTGCCCCACGCCAGGCCTTCCCCACACTATTGTCTGTGTCCATTGGCTATGCATATATGCATATATGCTCTTTGGTTAATTTCTTCCCATCTCCCTCATCCTCCTCCCACTGAGATCTGTCAGTATGTTCTCTACTTCCATGCCTCTGGACCTATTTTGTTCATCAGTTTATTTTGTTCATTAGATTCCACATAAAAGTGAGAATGTCCATGGTTGTTGTTATACAACAGTAGCTATGACTTATATATAACTTGTATTAGTTTTTATTTTTTTTAACCCATGCTTACTTTAGAAGATCAGTCCTACCTTAGTAAAGGAATGGATTTCAGGTTGTATGAGCACTTTTCTAAATAAATAAATAGTTTCTCTTCTGCTACAAGCCTGAGTGCAGAAGTAAGTTACACACATGCTCTATTCAGTCACCCGAACCTCAAGAGAGCCTAACATAGAACCCACGTGCCCGCAGAGAGCCTAGGAACAGCCTGGGAATGGCTGGAACCCTACTAGGCAATTTCCGTCAGCGCTCCATAAATGTTAGTTACATAATACCTGGCCTTTAATGCCGAGTTGTGATGAAAACAAGATCCTGATTATCTGGCTGCCTTTCCAGGGTGTCACCTTCAGTGGTTTTAACCAAGACTGTCACTCAAATGATTTCAAAGAGCTGGCTCACCACCTCAGATTTTTTTCTTCCCTTTGGTTTAACGTGTCACTTCGACCACGAGATGGTAGATGGTTTTATCGGATTGCCAAGGTTGCAGGGCACAGATCTCTTCAATAGCTGCAATACTCTATGACTCCAATGCAACTCACTTTGATAATTTATGTAAAAATCATTTGTCTTTGCAACAAAAAACTAACAATAACTATAAGAATTAAAAAGAAATACAGCAAAATTATTAATAAACTTAAGACTGCATGTAGGAACCAGATAACTACTTAAAATAGTTCCCTTTGGAGATTTTTAACAGATTTAAATAGAAGTTTGTTTCTTCTTTGGGAAGTCCTTTTAAGAGATCTACCTGTACACTAATTCTGTGTCAGCAGCAACCTGCTTATGAAAACTCACCATGTGAAGTCATAGCCCTTCCTTCATTTATCTACCAATGTTAGTTTCTCTCTCACTACTATTTTCCAAGCTCATAAGACTTTTCAGATATAATCAGTAAAATGAAGGGTAAAGACGGTGAAATATCCAATTTCATCATTACATCTAGGTTGCCTCCAAAATAGTCTGCACCCTAATAGCAGACGTGTCTGGAACCACCACCCCAGACGTGCCCCTGCAGATCCAAACGGCCACACCAAAGGGTTGTTTTTCAAAGGTCCCGAGTTCCGTCACTGCACCAGTTGAAAAACTACTCCCTCCAAGCTCTGGAGCTTCTCTAAATCATTTTTGTGGTTGATTGACTGTTTTCCAGGAAAGTGCCAGACACTGTTCCTCTGCCACAGTCAGCACACCTCCAGATCACCTCTCGGACAGTGCCAGGCCTGGGTGGTGGCGGGACTGCGTGCAGCCGAAAGACAGAGGGAGGGATGTCGATGAGTCCTGGGGCTGGCTCTGCTCTCAGTGACTTAAAAGTCCTACTTTTAAGCCTCAGCTTTCTCACCTGTAAAAATCAGGGATTTATTCTCAATGACCTCTATAGCACCTCCCAGCTTCCAGGTTCTGATTCTAGTGGTTGCACACTTGGATCCTTTACAAAGTGCTTCCAAGGGCAGACGGAGAGTGCAGCCCATCTGGGCGCTGAGGTTGATGAAAGGCAACTTGGCACCCGAAGGAATATGGAGTCCCTTCTTGTGGCTCTTCTCTTAATTCTGAGTCTGATGAACTGTTCTTTATCTTTCTTCAACAAAGATATTCCAAGTTCCTTCTATTTGACTTCAGTTTTAGTATAATTTAAACTTACTTACATAGTAATTGACTTTGCTTTTTAAAGGATCCAAATCGTATCAAATAAATTATGGTTCAGACTATATCCAGGTTAGTTTTTAAATGCATATCCCTTCATAGTGATAACTAACAGTGCCATGTTAAATATGTCAGGGAGGTAAAGCCATTGACTCGGACGAGAAAGATCTGATAGTCATTCAAGCTCCTACATTAATGACACCCTCTCCTCAGCTTCTGGATATAGAGCTGTATCTAAAAGACACTATAAGTAGAGAGGTAAAAAGTGGGCAAGTATGTATATGTATTATGTGTATATGTGTATTAGGTTCATCCATCAAATACTAAGTTGACACTGAACCTGCTTATAGTCATCTGAGTTCAAATACATGTATTATACGTATATGTATGTAATGTGTTCATATATAGGGTGTATGCAACTTATCTTTGCTTTCTTGCCAACCCACAACCCAGTTCACTGGAAATCCCAAATTCTAGAATTCCTGGTGGAAAATCACTACTGTCTCAAAGACTTATTTAAGAGAAGAAAAAAATTTACTAAAGTTGACGGCATTTGTTTTTCTCTTCCATCTAGGCTAGTGGTAAAGTCTCTGAAGGAGAAAGGCATAGTGGAGCCTGAACTCTATGAGGAAGTTACAATCTACTTCAGTGACATTGTAGGTTTCACCACTATCTGCAAGTACAGCACCCCCATGGAAGTGGTGGACATGCTGAATGACATCTATAAGAGTTTTGACCACATCCTTGATCACCATGACGTGTACAAGGTAACCACTTCACCTGACGGGCTGAGATTGTAAGGCCCCAGGTCAGCAGAGCCAGAATTGGTTGTTCCTGTTATTTCCCAGGTCTTGTCCTTTCTAATTTATAATTTAATGAATCTGTGGTTGAATCTGAGCTAAAAGTGAAGGGAAGTGGAAGAATAAGAAAGGCTAGAAGTCAAAAATGACCATGTGACTTTAAGAAGCATTTTGAAGAAAAAAAACACATAAAGTTTAGAGAAAATGACATACTCTCAAATCATCTTCAAAAAACGATTGCAAGTGAAGCAGAGAAGACACCGGAGTTATAATAAGTAAATAGGAATATCTTGTTGTTGTTGTTGAAATAGTAAGCATCATTTAGAGAAGGCTGAAGAGGAACAGGGAGAACTTTCTGTAAGTTCAGAGCTGGATCTGTCACCTGACTGGAGTGCTGACCGGCTCTAGTCTGAGTCAGAAGACTAAAGGAGAACTGAATCCCACACTCTCATGTTGGAAAAGCATACACCGTATGGAACAAGTAACTTCAGAAATAGAGCTCTTCGCATCAGCCTGCAGACCAAAGAGTCCCGGGTTCGGTTCCCACTAGGGGGATGTACCTGGGTTGAGGTTTGTCTCCGGCCCCGGTTGCGGTCCTATGGGTGGCAGTCAGTTGATGTGTCTCTCTCATGTCGATGTTTCTCTCTCTCTTCCCCCCTCTCTCCCTTCCACTCTATCTCAAAATAAATGCAAAATGTCCTCAGGTGAGGATAAAAAAAAAAAAAAAGAAAGAAATGAAGCTCTTTGTTTAAATCCCAATTTGCCCCTAACCATATGACATTGTAAAATATATTTAACTTCATTAAGTCTCAGTTTGTCTATCTATAAAATGGGATGACAAAATAATACCTACCTCAATAGGTTATTGTAAAGACTCTTTATATAAACAATGTGCCTGAAACACTGTATCCTTAAGTAAAGCTTAGAAGTCATTCATATAACACTGTCATAATGGTTATTACTCACAGAGAGGACTTCCCTTTTAGGGTTTGTCATAGCCCAGTCCTCACCTTATGTAAGTCAGAAAGCCATATTAACAATAGTTCTTGTTGGACAGAAAGTGATGATGCATTTTAGAGATAGCTGACAAAAAGAAGTTAACTACCAGTAACCAGTAACAGAACTATGCATATGACTGTGAAAATAAACTGAAAGGGAGGACATTTAGTAAAGAATAATGTTTATACAATACTGATAATATAAATCAACAACTTATAAGAATAGTGTGTGGAGTCACCATACTACAAGAATATGTATTATATCTTGGAGGAACCTACAATATTTTTTTTCAAATAGTATGTGAGAAATGGTAAGTGCTGAAAATGACTTTCCTGGTAATTATGGTATTTCTAAAATAACATAAAGCTATTCAGCTTATTTAAGCATTCATAAAATTGGCCTTGGCCAGTTGCTAAGTGGTTAGAGCATCGGCCCTCAGTCCAGAGTCCCGGGTTCGGTTCCCACTAAGGGCACGTACCTCGGTTGCAGTTTGTCCCTGGCCCCGGTTGGGGTCGTGTGGGTGGCAGTCACTCAATGTGTTTCTCTCGCATCAATGTCTCTCTCTCTCTGTCTTCCTCCCCCTCTCCCTCCCGCTCTATCTGAAGATAAATGCCAAAATAAATAAATAAATAAATAAACAAACATTTATAGAATTGTCAACACATCTGGATGATGTACATTATTTGTGAAGTACTTGCATATCATGGTACTAGACTTGCATATCATTTTACTAGACTATAAACACCCTGAAGAAATAGCATAGAACTGGTCTCAAACTGGTCCCAGAACAAGTGTACAGGGCTATGCTCATACTTTCTCTTTGATATGTAATTAACTGTATTTGATGTGTAATTAACTGCTCCTGTTTAATTTCTTGTGCCTTTTGAAGGGGCAGATTCACTGATGAGATACTGTTTCCACAGGTGGAAACCATTGGTGATGCCTACATGGTAGCTAGTGGCTTGCCCAAGAGAAATGGCAATCGGCATGCAGTAGACATTGCCAAGATGGCCTTGGATATTCTCAGCTTCATGGGGACCTTCGAGCTGGAGCACCTTCCCGGCCTCCCAATATGGATTCGCATTGGAGTTCACTCTGGTATGGAGTTGAGCATTGTAGCAAATGGGAACCATATGTATCTCTGCGCACCCACTAAATCAAAGTGTAGAGTCTTCAAATGTAATCAGCTCTCAATGATGTTTACTCTTGAATCTGCCAAAAGTGAGGTCCCATTATACATCCTGACGTAATTAGACCCATCCCTAAAGAGTCCTAGGAAACAGCGTCTTTGACATCACCTTTGATTCCTGGAATGATAAACACCAACCACTTACTAAAGTAACAAGCTCCAGATTTCCTGCTTAAGTCACTATATTTACTGTTTCATTTATCTCCTTCCCATTCCCTCCCTCTCCCTGATCCTCAACTTCTGTATTTCTTACTGAAATATTATGATATCTTAAATGGATTACATTACCTACAGGGCAGAAAAGGCTTGTCAAATTCTGATAATAAAAGGGATTTATGCCCTCCCACCCTTCTCATTGGTACAGAAAGTACATGAACCACTTCAAAAACCATGAAAGCTACTCAGCCTTGAACACAGAGATTTGAGAAGATGAGTTACACTTGTTATAGAAAAACATAGTTGGAGGGAAACTCAGAAATTATCTAGATTAATCCTTTATAGGCCATACATTATCTTTACATATTCCAAGGTAAGTAATAACATAGCCACTTTTAGAACAATCCCAGGATTTCCTGAAAAAAAATCACTGTTTCCAAAGCCAACTCACTTCATTATTATTTTTTCTTTATTGATTTTAGAGAGAGAGAGGAAGAGAGAGGGAGAGAGAGATAGAAACATCAATGAGAGAGAACATCAATTGGCCACCTCCTGCATGCCCCCCACTGGGGATCGGGCCCACAACCTGGGTATGGGCCCTGACCAGGAATCAAACTTGCAACCTCTTGGTGCATGGGTCAACACTCAACCACTGAGCCACACCGGCCAAGCCAACTAACTTCACTATTAAATAGTTGTTATCACAGTCTTTCCCTGTGTTAAATTAAATCACATCTCTATAATTTCTTGTCATTGCTCCTCTTTCTTCCTTCCAAGTCTCACAGAAGAGCCAAAGTATAGAACACCCTTGTGGCAAGGACCAGATAACTGCATTTACAAAAGTCATCCTGTATGCACAGTGCCTGTCTCAAAGCCTGACAGTAAACAGTTATTGATTAAGAAATCAGTGAAGCCCTGGCTGGTGTGGCTCAGTTGGTTGAGCATCATCCCATGCACCGAAAGTTCTCTGGTTCTATTCCTGGTCAGGGCACATACCCGGGTTGCAGGTTCCATCCCTGGTGGGGGTGTGTGCAGGAGGCAACTGATCAATGTTTCTCTCTCACATCGATGTTTCTATCTTTCTCCCTTCCTCTTTCTCTAAAATCAATAAAAACATACTTTTAAAAAATCAGTTAATTCTCAAAGTGACAGTAAATAGGACTTAAAAACTGCTGCCATATCTTTCACTTACAGGAACATAGCTGTGGCCTTTCCAGATCACGTCCACAGCCAAATAGATAGATGCTTCTATACACACATGAGGGTACTTTCTGGGTTCTCCTTAGCAGACCGTTCGTTTTCTGCAAATTGCCAGAGGAAGGGACAGCAATAGGTCTGACTGAACCAAGTCAGAGAGAATGGAGCTCTGGGTCCTGGCCCTGTCTCTTTCCCTGTGACCTACTCAGGCTCTGAGCTATCAGGGCCCCAGCGCTACCTTACTGAGCTGCAATGAGAGTAGATATTAGGTACACATACCTAATATCCAGTTGTTATCCTAGGGTTTAGCCCTAAGGAATGAAAAGGTTGAAGTTAAGTAGTGATAGCTGAAAACACCAAATATCTGCAGGGATTTCCCCTTCTGGGCCCTGCCCAGCTTCATCACTCCATTTCCGAAGTGAAGAGCCACTGTGAGTAGACCTCAGGCTCAGATCAGAGATCTAATCAAGCAGCTGCTCCCGCTGTAGTTTTTCCTTTTTTTTTTTTTTTTTTTTTTTGTTTGATTGTGTTTTGTTTGCTTCTTTTGTGTGTATTTGGTATGGTTTACATCAAACCTAACAGGTAAAATCTCAGCACGCAGGGGAAGATCAATATTCTTTGTTTCGTTTTCATTGTTCGTAAACACAGAGTAGTTATAGGATAAATCTATAAAGAAACTCAACGTATATAAATCAAAACCCAACTAGACATCGGCCAAACTAGAAAATCAATGGTTACCTGTATCTAAAACCTGATTTTGCAGTTGATTTCTGAGTTAATTTAACTTCTAAAATCTGTAACTCATCACATTCAGTCGTTCCACACCAGTGCTTGGTGGAACAACCCTTCCTCCCTACGCACCGGGCCACAGCGCAGCCCTCGTCACCTTCGTTCTCCTTAGAGTGTCCTTGTGCTCCCCACCCTTCTGCATTCACACGGCACATGAAATGCTCGGGGAAGGTGATGCCAAATCCTTGTCTTCTGGGTCTTCCAGCATCAGGCCATTGATCCCAGAAATGCTACCCAACGAAATAAAAATAAAACAAACTTGGGCCACTGAGCTTCCAAGTGGACTGGGCTCCCCAGCAGTTCAGAGCTCAGGGCTGTGTGTCTCAGCACAGTGAGCAAGCAATGGGAGAGTCTTCAGCCTCCCTGACAGCTTCTACTGAAAACATCAAGAATGACTTCCCACCTTTCAGCCTGGATCCGATGCTTTCTTGTTTTGTGCAAATGTGCTTTTCTGTGCCAGAGCAAACTTCTTCCTGAAAGCATGCATTGATTGAATAATGATGCTTACCTGATTGAATACATTCATTTAAACAAAAAATCCAAGCTCACTATTCACACCCTCAGACACTTCTCCATAAAACAAAGTGTTCAGTATTATGGCCCCGAGAAGAGTCTAAACCACCTTAACTCCACTCTGTGATTTCCATCCCTTCATTTCCTGCTTTCTGCCCTCTTCAGGTCCCTGTGCCGCTGGAGTTGTGGGGATCAAGATGCCTCGTTACTGCCTATTTGGAGATACCGTCAACACAGCCTCTAGGATGGAATCCACTGGCCTCCGTAAGAAGGGAGATTGTTTTTCTTAGAGAACAAAGATTCTGTCTTCTGGCAGAAGGGACTTGTAGGGTAAATGAATAGGAAGTGTCAATAAGAATGATCCTTCTTCACGTTGACTGAACATGAGCCTGTGTCACGCCAGACCTTGCTACATTTGCTTTTGTTGTGGCTTTTACCGATAATTATTCTTCCTTTTGGCTCAGTTTTAGATTGTTCCTACTAGTTTGGGTTCATTTGCAATGCATTCAGCCATGCTCTACCTGGACTAGTCATAAAATTCAGCATAGATCCATGTAAGTTAAAAAACAAATTCAGTAGGCTAGGTATGGAGTCTACATCCTGGTTCAATTTCCTATTCCTTTTTTATTGGTTTTCCTGGAAATTGGTTTAGTAAAGAAAAATACGTGTACTTGTTACATGCAAACACCTATATTGCATTTTCCTGGCAAGGTAGAGGTACTGTGTGTTGCATGTAGTAGATGATTAATAAATATTGATGACAGTGATAGTAATAGAAATATATATAAGAGAGAATGAAAGCACTGGTAGGTATGGGCAGGGATTGCAAACACACCAGTGTTAGAACAGTTTACTGACAACCTGATACTGGTTTATACTGGAAAATCATGATGTAAAGGAAAGAGTAAGTTTGGGGCCAAACAGACTTCGGTTAAAATCATAACTATGAAAATCACTGATAAGATAGTGGGGAAATTTCCTCATCTTTCTAGGCATCAAAAATTTGAAGATATAAATTAAGGATGGGATACCAACCTTGCTGGAAGGTTTTCTAGAAGGGTCTGAGATGGTATATGTTAAGCACTTAGTAATCCGTGATACATGGTGGGCATACAATATGAGGATGCCATTATTCTTACTATTGTTATTGTCTGTGGCATCATAATGGGAAAGGTGATATACAGCAATGAACTTGTGGAAGGAAATATACCCTTACCACTTATTTGTCAGGAAGATGACAGTATCCCAGGAGAGTACAATTTGAGAAAATTAAGACCCTATCACTGTCTTCTGGATCTTTACCTTGTCACCAGCACTTAGGCTGTTTATTGGAACTTTTACATGGGGACTCAAATTCCAGGTCTCAAGCTCAGCACCATGAGCTAAAGCTAAAACCTGGGCCACCACTCTGAGCTGGAATGAGAATCTGTGGAGCAAGCCTGGGAGCCCCATCACTAAGGACCCTGAAAACAGTGCCAGACCCTATTTATTCCCATGTGTGATCATATTTATCTCACTGAATGTGTTTTTAAGTTTTCTTTCACTAAAATATCCAAGCTGTCAAGAACACCTGAAATAAAAGTCCTGAATCAAGGAAAAACAAATGTGGCCATATAATAGATTTCAAAATGGACAAGATTTTCACTGATCTGTTTTGCTTTTCCAGCCTTGAGAATTCATGTGAGTGGCTCCACCATAGCCATCCTGAAGAGAACTGAGTGCCAGTTCTTGTATGAAATGAGAGGAGAAACATACTTAAAGGTAAGGGATCTGCAGAGACAGTGCCCAGCAAAACCACTCAGAGACACCTGTGGGCCACCTCCTTTGAAACTGGACACCCAATGGTCAGTATGTGGAGGAGCATTAAGATGGGTCCTTTTCTGTACTCCCTGCATTGATCACCTTATGTCCCTGCGATGATCATCCACTATCCCTTGTAGGAGAAGCCACCACCAAAGAACATGAGCTCAACTTTATTTCAAAGAGCCCTTTTGATATCTTGAACTATGACCACCATATTATAAAATGCTGCCACCATTTCTTCCACTTATACCCAAGTTTTGTCCCCAATTCCTCCTCCATATTCAAGAGCTATGGTCCAGGACTAATGTAACTTAAGTCAAAGTCCCCATCTCCTTGCGTTCTTGCTCTTACTGCAAGATGCTGCTACTCCGTAAGGCCACCTCTCCAGCCAGTTGCTTTATCATTGAAAGATGTTACCCCAGCCCTGGCCAGTTTGGCTCAGCGGTTAGAGCGTCGGCCTGCGGTCCGGAGAGACCCGGGTTCGGTTCCCGCTAAGGGCACGTACTTCGGTTGCAGTTTGTCCCCGGCCCTGGTTGGTCGTGCGGGTGGCAGCCACTCGATGTGTCCCTTCACGCGATGTTTCTATCTCTCTCTCCCTCCCACTCTATCTGTACAAAAAATGGAAAAGTATCCTCGGGTGAGGATAAAAAAAAAAAAAAAAAAAAAAGAAAGATGTTACCCCAGACTTGACTCAGCATTATCTGGGTGCTCGTTAAAAGGCTGATGCCTGGCCCTGGCCAGTTTGGCTCAGCGGTTAGAATGTCAACCCGCAAGACCAGAGAGACCCAGGTTCGGTTCCCACTACGGGCACGTACCTCAGTTGCAATTTGTTCTTGGCCCAGTTGGGGTTGCATGGGTGGCAACCAGTCAATGTGTCTCTCTCATGTCAATGTCTCTCTCTCTTTCTCCCTCCCTCTCTCCCTCCCACTCTATCTGAACATAAAATGCAAAAATGTCCTTGGGTGAGGATTTAAAAAAAAGGCCGATGCCTGGCCCTGGCCAGTTTGGCTCAGCAGTAGAACGTCAGTCCACAGACCGAAGAGTCTTGGGTTTGATTCCAGCCAAGGGCATGTACCTCAGCTGTGGTTCACCCCAGCCCTGATTGGGGTCATGCAGGAGGCAACCAGTCGATGTGTCCCTCTCACATCAATGTCTCTCTCTCTCCCCCCCCCCAACCCCCACTCTAACTGAAGATATTTGAGAAAAATATCCTTGGGTGAGGAATAAATAAATAAATAAATAAATAAAAGGCCAATGCCTGGACTCTCCACCAGTTTACTGAGTAAATATGTTATATATTTATAATAAATATAAATTATATTATTTATATATATTATTTATGTATATATATATTTTTTCCCCTAATGATTTCAGAGAGGGGAGCGGGAATTAGAAACATCGATGATGAGGAAGACATCGATTGGCTGCCTCCTGCATGTCCTCTACTGGGGATTGACCCTGCAACCCAAGCATGTGCCCTGACTGGGAATCAAACCAGGAACCTCCTGGTACATAGGTTTATGCTCAACCTTTGAGCCACACCAGACGGGCCAGGAATGTTTGTTTGTTTGTTTGTTTGTTTTCCTTTATTGGTTTTAGAGAGAAGAAGTGAGAGGGAGAGAGAGAGAGAAACATCAATGAGAACATCGATTGGCCACCTCCTGCATGCCTCCCACTGGGGATTTGGCCCACAACCTGGGCATGTGCCCTGACCAGAAATCGAACCGGAGACCTCTTGATGCATGGGCTGACGCTCAATCACTGAGCCACATCGGCCAGACAGGAATGTATTTTTTTAACAAGTACTCTAAGTGACTGCAGTGCACACTGACGTTTGAGAACCGCTGGTCTAGACTCTCCATGCTGTTCCTCACATTTAGAACAGCTGCCCTCCAAAGCCACCCATGTCTCCATTTGGCTCTCAGGCTGCTTTTTGAAGGTCATTGCAATCTTTTCACACTTGGTATGAAGCCAACTATTGACTGTAAGATTACCTGTCTCCAGTAGCCATAGCACTTCTAGCCTTTACACTGTGACTGCAACTTGGAAAAAGCTTCCTCTCATGTAGTAGGGTCCTAGCATTGCACTCGCTTTTTGAATCCTCCATGAACATATTTTCTGAACAGAGTATTTCTCCCCAAATAGAAGTGGTCTATGGATTACTACAGTTCAAATACAGACAAAACAAAAAACATTATTTTTAAAGATGAGTGATTTTAAAAATAATATATAACTATCTACTCTCCTTTTCAAACACCAGCTCTAGCAAAAGTAGGATTACCAGTAAATTTCCATTTATTTTATAGCCTCTAAATGGGCCCAGAAAATGTCACTTAATCAGTATTTATTATGATGCACATGTGTTTATAATTTGCATACTTAAGATGGGGAAGCTATGGCAAAGGTTTTGTGGCAAACTTCGTGGCAAAAAGAGCTAGAAGAAAATGTGGATGATGAAAACCATGTAGATGAATTGTCTTCCTTTTAAATTTAGAGTTCTTGTGATGTTGCTATAGAGTTATTTTGCAATATTTTGGGGGAAAACTCTGCTTTGAAAAACACATGTTGGGTGATTGAGAGACTTGTTTGTTTTGTTTTTATTATTTGAGAGAGAGAGAGAGAGAAACATCAATTTGTTGTTCCACTTATTTCTGCATTCATTTGTTGATTCTTGTATGTGCCCTGACCAGGGCTCGGACCTGCAATTTTGGCATATTGGGATGATGCTCTAACCAACTGAGCTACCTGGCCAGGGCAAGAGACTTGTTTTTTAAAAGGTACTTGGAGCCCTGGCCGGTTTGGCTCAGCAGAAGAGCGGCGGACCAATGAGTTGCGGATTCTATTCCTGCAAGGGCACATACCTCGGTTGTGGTTCATTCCAGCCCTGGTCAGGGTCGTGCAGGAGGCAACCAGTCGATGTGTCCCTCTCACATGGATGTTTCTCTCTCTCTCCCTCTCTTTCTCTCCCTGTCTCTCCTTCACATTCTATCTGAAGATAAATAGAAAAATATCCTCAGATGAGGATTTAAAAAAGTAAAAAGGCACCTATAACTAAAGGCCTGTCCAGTGATAATGCAGATCATATCAGAAACGTGTGCTGCACTGAAATATGGGCACTGATGAAACTCAGAGGTGAAATGTTCCCTGGAAATGGATACTTGTCAGAATGGCGGGCTAGAACTGAACTATCTCATTGACCTCCTGGTATACACTTTCTTGTCTCACTAGGGAAAGGGAACTGAGACCACCTACTGGTTGACTGGGATGAAGGACCAGGAGTACAACCTGCCAACCCCTCCTACTGTGTAAGCTGCTGGGTGTGGGAGGGAAAAAGAACGGAGGTCTTGGCTTTGTAAACTGCTACATGCAGCCAATTTTAATTGTTGGCAAATGCTTTGCATTGAACATGAAGATTACATATGTGAGAAGGTTAGAAACCTCCCTTCTCTGGCTGCTAGAAACTGGGTGTTCCAGGCATGCCCCGGGGAACAGAGGACAAGAAGAGCTCACCTCCTGCGTTCTGATGAGTAAAGCATGCTGGAGGTGAAGAGGCACTCTGCACTTCCACCCCTGCCTACAGCTCTCTGCTGGGCCACATGTTGAAAACGGGACCTCTCCCAACCCAAGACTGTGGTTCTGGGTCTTCCCGTGAAATTTGTGTTCTCTCTGAGATGAGGAAGTCAAGGTTTCAGATCTAACTAACAGGTCTCAGTTCCCCTAAAAGCTGACTCAAATGGTCACCAAGTTGCACATTGGTTGCTGCAGTCAGTCATGTGGCTGTTGCTGTGGCCTTTGCTATGGTAGAGAAGCCTTGTCTTGCAGACTCCTAGATGCTGGACCCAGATGACAAGCCTATGGAGGTGCCAAAACAACCCAGGTCTTCCCTGGGGCACAGGAGACCTGGCCTCTTACTAGGAGTGCTCTAAGTCCATTCCAAATTCTTAAAACCCTCCATTAATTCTGAGTCCCCCACCCTCTTGAAAATATCTACACTCCTAGGCATGTGTGGGACCAACAAACACATTTTCAGGGTTGTGTTGCAGGAGCCTGGCATTGTTCTGGCTTCTTTTCCTCTCCCTACAGTGGCATGTGTAAACCTAACAGTGTTTCCAAATTCTAGCAGCATGGTGTTGCACTTTAAAATTGAAATACAATTTTCAGCTTGAAATATATTCTGCTTTTTCTACAACTGCACAGAGCAGGATGATGGTCCCTTAAGCTTATCCAAGGCAAGGCTCATTATCTGGGCTTCCTGTGTTTAGCACAGAAGAAGCCTTCGATAAGCATTGGGTAAAGTGAACTGATTGTTCTAGAGCTAAGAAATATTCTGTATGAATTGCTGAGAAGTTCCATTTTCCCTCCCCACTCACTTTTCAGGGAGAATCAACAGCGCTTGCAAGCTGAATTTTCTGACATGATTGCCAGCTCTTTGCAAAAAAGACAGGCCACGGGGATAAGAAACCAAAGACCTACACGAGTAGCTAGCTACAAGAAAGGCTCTCTGGAATACATGCAGCTGAACACAACAGACAAGGAGAGCACCTATTTTTAAACCTAAGTGGTGTCCATGGACTCAGGCAAATGAAGTACAGATGCACTTTGGGCCTCAAGGGTCCCAAAGCCTCCACTTCCCTAAGACCTCAGTGGAACAGAAGACATGCATTCTACTGAGTTTATAACAGGGGAAATTTTAACCCACTCCACCATTTTTTTTTTTACATTGTTTCTATAAAAACTGACTCTGACTAATATATAACTTATAAACAGCATGTTTGTATAAGAATCCTAGAAACTAATTTCAGAAGATAAAGACTCTGACCTTCAGTCATCCCAGTTCCAAGAGATTTACTGACCTTCAACCATAGAACCAGAATGATGAAGACTAGGGTGACAAAGACCAGAATGATGCACACCAGACCATCACTTGACCAGCTTCAAGATCCTTATTGGAATGGACTGTACTGGCCTTCATATAGGGAACTTTTCAACTCCCTCCCCTTGATTTCTTTGTTCTGTTTTTCTTCTTTCTCCTTATAAAAACCTCTGCCTGCACTGAGGTGGGGAGATGGGCTTTGCGACAAGAGTCCCCCATCTCCTCAGATAAAGTTGGCACTTGAATAAACCTCTTTCCTTTTTCACCAGCATCTGTCTCATGAGTTTAGTTTTTGTGGTAGCAGGCAGTCGAATTTGGGTTCTGGTTACAACCCTTGGCTTCCCTGTCTGTAACATTTTATAAAAATATTTAGGAACATTCTGGAAAAGTAAATTACCGTTTACTTTGGTGCTTGATCTCAACAGTTGCTTCAGGGAGCTTCAACCTGGGAAAGAGGAGAAATGAACACACTATCTTGAAGTTGAGATCTTGTTCTCATTTAATTATTTTGTTTTTGTTTTTGTTTTGTTTTGTTTACTGGCTCTTTTTCCTTCTATATCCATGATAGAATTTTTTAAATTGTCACATTACATTTTAAGTATCTTATCTCTATTAAATTATATTAAACTCATAGTTTTTCCAGAAAATATGCTATATATTAGTCAGGGCTAATATACACTTAATAGTTAAAAGTTTACTGAGTCTGTGTATGTGTTTCCACCTATTCCTCCCATTTTCCTGAAGTGTACCAGCCCCATCTTGTGCTCACTGAATAACTGACTAAATTCACCCACACTGAAGCAGGATAAAGCTAGCATTGTTGCTCAGGGCCAAGAACCTTGACATTCAATATCACTGCTACACGTGAGGAGACTTTGTGTCTAGCCCTCCACCATGGAAGGGAGAACCTGCAGCTGTCTCAGGTCTGAGATTAAGTCAAATCCTGTTGAACTTTAAAGACAGTACTTCAAACTCTGCAGATATCCCTTTCCTGACATACGGCAGCCATCTCCTGACCCTTCTTATGGTACCCCGGCATGACTCAGTTGCTTGAAATCTCTGGGGAAATAGCAAAAAGTCAATTGGTGTTGAGCAGACTAGAATCAGCAAAGGCAAGACAAGCGAAGAAACATCTTGTTTGTCTTCTCGTTGCCTGAAAAAGCTGAAAACCAAAAAGTAATAAAATAAATTATTTCCTGATTTACAGGTTGAGAATTTAATATGCAGCAAGAGTTCTTCCTTGGAATCTGGAGGTTTATAATCTATCTGTGCCTCAGCATTCTGCACAAGGGGATTTTCTGCATTGGGGATGCGGTGGTGACATGAACATTCTTGGTCATTCATTTAGTATATGCATATCATCCATCTGTTCTTATTATAGGCACTGGGCATGGTATTAGAATTCTAGAAACATGGTCTCTGCCAAGCTTTGAATCTTACAGGGGAGAGAGAAATGTAAAGGGATAAGTGGGTTTTGGTACTGAGCAATGTTCTTGACAGCAGGCAAAGTTAGCAACTTCAGCGTCAACCAGAAAAACTCAAAATCATCTTTAATGATAAGGGACATTGATAAAACATCTCAGCTGAAGGCTCATGTTTGTCTTTCAGAACCTACATGGTTGTGAAAAATTTCTCCACCTTTTAACAGATATGTGACCTCAGCTTGTCCACTTAGCAATATGGTTATGTGATACCAGTGATGACAGTGACTCTAAGAATGAGACCCAAGCAAGGGTCAAATTCCTGCAGTGTTCTTTTCTAGCTGTGAATAAATTAATTAAATTCTCCAAGCTCCTGATGCTTCATTAATAAAGCATGAATTATAATATCCACCTCAAGAAGTTGTTACAGATATTTTTGAAATTAAAATTTGCCAAGTACCTAGCACAATGTCAGTCACATTAGGTTCTCAACAAATAACCTCTACCTTCCATTTTTCCCCTCTCTCTACTTGCTGTATCAGAACTAAGAAATTTTAAACCCAGGACTTCCATATGCATGAAGTATGCATGATTTATATTTAACAATAGATAATTATAATTAATTATATAATTATAATTCATCATATTTATTATATTTAATATATAATTATACTATAATTTATATATAATTATATTCATAATTATATTAATCAGTTTAACAATTGATTATAGAATTGTTCAAATGTGCACAAACGTAGACGAAACACAGCTAATGAATCCCCATGTGGTCATCATCAGTTTCAAGAATTATCAAAAATGTTTTTAAATATGAAAAAGAGATTTATATTTACAGGAATAACAACTCAGGCATTGATAACACAGCAGCAGCAATATGATTGCCTTGTGGTAACTTAGTATAATTGGTATGATTGCCTCATGTTGGTAAGGAAATCTCCAAAAAATTTCCAAAATTTATTTTTAAAAATATGTGTATACAGTTCAAACCCATGTTGTTCAAGGATCAACTATAGTAGCTAAAAGTGCCATTATATTAGCCCCCTCCCTGTTACCTGCAGGAGATATATTCCAATACCCCCAATGGATGCCTGAAACCGTGGATAGTACAGAATCCGATATACATCCTATGTTTTTCATATACATATATACCTATGATAAAGTTTAATTTATAAATTAGGCACTGTGAGAGATGAATAACAATAACTAATAAGAAAATAAAACCGCCCTGGCTGGTTTGGCTCAGCGGTTGGAGCATCCGCCTGTGGTCCCGAGAGACCCGGGTTCGGTTCCCGCTAAGGGCATGTATCTCGGTTGCAGTTTGTCCCCGGCCCTGGTTGGTCGTGCGGGTGGCAGCCACTCGATGTGTCCCTTTCACATCGATGTTTCCCTCTCTCTCTCTTCCTCTCTCTCCCTCCCACTCTATCTGTACAAAAAAATGGAAAAATGTCCTCAGGTGAGGATAAAAAATAAATAAATAAAATAAAAGAAAACAATTATAACAATATCCCCTAATAAAAGTTATGTGAATGTGGTCTCTCTCTCTCTCTCTCTCTCTCTCTCTCTCTCTCTGTCTCTCAAAATATCTTATTGTACTCGACTCACCCTTCTGTGATGATGTGAGATGACACAATGCCTATGTGATGAGATGAAGTGAGGTGAGTGACACAGGCATTGTGACATAGCATTAGGCTACTCAAGTGACTAATGGGCAGGCATGCAGCATATACAACTGGACCAAGGGATTATTCACATTCCAGAGGGACAGAATGGGGCAGTGGGAGATTATCACTACACAGGACAACTATTTAAAACTATGAATTGTTTATTTCTGGAATAACCCATTTAATATTCTTGGACTAACGTTGACTGTGGGTAACTGAAAGCGCAGAAAGTGAAACCATGGATAAGGGGGGGCTGCTATTTTTTTCCTGTACTTTTAGAGAATACAAAACTTTATTCACGTGGTTACACATACACATATACCATACAATACAATCCCAGTTTAATGCATCTATCCCAATATAAAATGCATTTTATCTTGCACCTTTAAATAATTCCATCAAATTGTTTAAGGTATTAACCCAGCCCAGGGTAGATAGAGTTCATGGCAGAGAAACCAGTGACTCGCTCCTGGATTGCATCCTAATATTTGGACAGTCATGACACCTTTGTCACAAAAAGTCTGCATCACTTTCAGTTCTATATTTCTTTGGAAATAAATCAAAACGTGTGGTTTATGAAAGAACAGATGTTTTGTAAAAGTGGAAATTGTACAGGAGCCTTCTGCAGCTTCTAAAGAGATCCTAGATTATCCAGACACCCGTCCTGCTCAGGAACAAGAACAGTGCAGAGCAGTGGTTGTGGGAGCACCCTGTGCCTACCTGCACCACAGCACCCACTGCACTGTCAAAGTGAACCGTTGACCTTCTAGACCCCTTCAGACCATGGACACTTCAAAGCAGGTACTGTGGTTCAGTAGGCACTTCACACATGTTCGTTGAAATCTAACTATGGTTTAAGCTGTTTGATTTTTTTTTTTTTTTTTTTATCCTCACCCGAGGATATTTTTCCATTCTTTTTTTTTGTACAGATAGAGTGGGAGGGAGAGAGAGGAAGGGAGAGAGAGAGAGAGAAACATCGACGTGAAGGGACACATCGAGTGGCTGCCACCGGCACGACCAACCAGGGCCAGGGACAAACTGCAACAGAGGTACGTGCCCTTAGCGGGAACCGAACCCGGGTCTCTCCGGACTGCAGGCCGACGTTCTAACCGCTGAGCCAAACCGGCCAGGGCTTAAGCTGTTTGATTTTACCTGCTCTTTAGCTTAAGGTGAATTGGGCCCGAGATTTGCCAGGAGCTCCACAATGGGCTGAGAGGGAGAGCTGAGCTGCCTGTTGTAGCTGATTAAAGTAGCAAACCCAAAATGAAAGAGTTAATTAAGCCTCTCACTTTCTGCGATGATATAACCAAGAGTCTGAAACCAGAAAACACTGCTTCCCCTGTTCCATTTTCCCCTGTGGAATAGGACATTGGTTGGGGGCCATGTGGTTCAGCTCAGACATGGAGTAGTCTCACCGCTGAGGGAGCCCCAAACAAAAGCTCTGGCAGTTTTAAGGATTCTGGGATTGGGAGAGAAACCAGTGACTCGCTGGAGAGTGAGGGACGGGGCTGGGAGTGGGAAATTACTGGGTCCTGAGTCACAGTGGGGAAAAGTGTCTTCAAGGTTCCTTCCTCCTGATGAAGAGGTCTCCGCAGAGACACCTGCAGGGGACCTCTGGCCAAAGCCTCAGATAAAAGACTAGGAATGAAGGAAGCAGGGCTCGGAATGAAATATGCCCAGAGCATGACTAGCCAGGAGGGCCAGAGACTACAATGCATGGGCTGTTACCAAACCAAAGTCCATGTGCCCAACTCTTCAAAAGGCCAAAATTCAAAACACCAGAGTTTGGACTAAGAAAGGGTTATTGATTGAGAAGGTGCCAACCAGGAAGATGGGAGTTCTAATTCTCAAAAAGTCTCAAGTCCATCTTACTCACTGGACTAGGTTAAGGGTTGTTAAGGAGTTGGGGGACAGTTATGAGAATCGCTGGTGGGGCAAGTTTTAATTGAGGGACCTCGGAACTTGGCCATTTATGGTAAAAGGGTGTCAACACTGGATCTTCCTGGACAACAGACCCTTGGTTTCTGGAGGAGTTCCAGTGTTCAAATTCTGGTCCTTTGGTTACTTGGGGAGGGGGGTAAGACTGGGCAGGTAAGTTGGAGGTCAAAGCTCTCTCCTCTACAGATGCATGACTTTCAGTTTTGGTCTGTTGTCCCTGAAAAGCAATTCAGCATCTTGTTAAGCAGGATAGGACCATTTTGAGCTGGTTCTGCAGTTGTACCCAGAGGGCAGCTTCCCCTGTGAGGCCTGCTAGGTACAAAGTCTCTGTAACTGCCTGTGGTCAGGCCGGAAACACTGCACACGGGTTTTTAACCACAAGCCGACCTCCTCAACATTAAAAGCCAAAACACAGAAATAATAAACTAGAAGGGTCTTGCTGCTAAATTATTAACAGAACCTGAAGCCTGAGAAAAAATAGTAAATATGTCTTTGAGCTCTGAACTTCCAAACTTCCTGTTACTTTTCTATCCCACCTTAGTTAGACATTATGTAGATTATCATCAGTACGATATGCATTGGTGTTTAGATTCCAGTCAAGTGTAAGATCTCCTCAAAGAAAATTTCTACGTTGAACAGGCCAGTAAGCCAGGACAAGTGGGATAGGGAAACAGACAGAGTGCTGAACAAACTGGCTGAGCATTTACAGCAGATGCAAAAGGTCACCTCCCTGGAAGTAACATCCAGGTCTCAGTTGTATTTCAGCTCCACGCACAGAAAAGCAGCAAACCAGGTTGGCAACACCAGGACCAGGTGCAATGAATGAAAGTCCCCTGCCCTGACACTGACCAATCAGTGGAGACCACAACCCTGAGGGAACACACCTAGAAAACGATGACTATTCTGGTGAACCATGCCCTGAGACCTCCCCTAAGATTCCTATCTGCAAAAGATAAATAAGTCCTGGCCAGTTTGGTTTAGCGTTTAGAGCATCAGCCCGAGGACCAAAGAGTCGAGGGTTCGATTCTGGTCAAGGGCATGTACCTTGGTTGTGGTTCGGTCCTCAGCCCTGGTTGGGGTCATGTGGGAGGTAATCAGTCAGTGTGTCTCTCTCACATCAATGTTTCTCTCTCTCTCTCCCCCCCCCCCCCCCACTCTGTCTAAAGATAAATGAAAAAATATCCTCAGGTGAGGATTTAAAAAAAGAGGCAAAGAAAAATAAAAGCCTCAAGATAAAGGACCCAGGTGTGCGCGCTTCCTCTGGGGAGCAGCCCTGCCATTCTCTTCCCCCACTCCTTCCCCCACAGGTACATCTCTGAAACTCTAAGGGAGCCCATGAGACTTACCACAGGGGAGCAATGGGCAATGGCAGCTGGTCCCAGGCTAATAATCCCTCAAACCTGTCCCCAAGGCCCTTTTTTCTCTGACTTCCCAGTGAGCTCTCTGGTGCTTCTTCTCTGATAAGCCTTCCTTGCTTCGCTGTCCCCAGCGTTAGTCAACATACCCTCCTAGTCACCTGGACTCATGTGCAATTTTTCCTGCATGAAGTCTGGAACCCACACACTACAGGCTGGCCCTAGGCAGACCTGTCCAGTAACAATATCACCTCAAAAAAGGAGCCACAGGCGTCTCAGTTTACTTCATTCATTCCAAGCAGAGAAGTTTAGGTCTGGGTGAAGACCAATGAGCAACTAGAGTGCCCCACAGTGTTACTGAACTGAAACAGTTTGTTCGCCCTGGGGCTCGCAGAGCTAAGCACTAGCCAGCGAAAATTGCGGTGTAAAAAGATTGGCTGTTTTCTTATGAATGGGGCCAACCAGGAGAACAGGAAGCTAATGCTCTAAAGCCTGAACTCCCCAATGGCATGTTGGTAACATTATTTAGGGGAAAACCACAAGACACTGTGGTTAGGGGGAGGGGATCATGCTGGAAACGGATTGGTCGGAGGTGAGGGTAATAAATAGCATCTTCAAGTTTTGAGGACTGTCCTAAGGTCTGTTCTGGTGTCCCTCTGTCTGGTTCCATGGGAAAGTAGACTGGGAGTCATTCCACCTTAGGGCTCAGGAGTTGAAACGTAGTTTAGGTCAAGATGTTATCTTTAGCCTGCCAGAGGTCTGAGCCTTTGTGACCATTAGTCAGGTCCCGCAACTGTTATCTGCTGCCCCAGCTGCTGATTGTCTGGGGGAAAGGTTAGGTCTCTGAGGGGTGTATATATATATATATATATATATATATATATATATAGAGAGAGAGAGAGAGAGAGAGAGAGAGAGAGAGATGATTTCTAGAGCTAGGATTTAGAACTAAATATAATCAAAGTCATAAGGACCCCTGGAAGAAGTGAATGCAGATCTTTGGTCTTTTTCTTCTTCTTGACTCTTTGCTCCAGACTTCTGTGACTAGGAAGACCCAGGGGACAAGGGTAAAACCCACAGACAACCACAGTGCTGCAGCTGGGAAGTGCTTAGCCTTAGAGAAGAAGAGCAAATTTAGTTCAACCAATTCAGTTCAACTAATAAGAGTGACAGGTTAGCCCTGGCCGGTTTGCTTCGGCGGTTAGAGCATCAGCCTGTGGACCAGAGAGGCCCGGATTCGGTTCCCCCTAAGGGCATGTACCTCCGTTGCAGTTTGTCCCCGGCACCAGTTGGGGTTGTGTGGGTGGCAACCACTCGTGTGTCTCTCTCTCATTGATGTTTCTCTCTCTTTCTCCCTCTCTCTCCTGCTCTATCTGAAGATAAATGCAAAAATGTCCTCAGGTGAGGATAAAAAAAAAAAAAAGTGACAGATTAGATAGAAACGAGAACACCTCTTTGGCACTTTATCAACATTATCTCATACATTGCCCTAGAGATACTGCATTTTGTAACTGAGGAAACTATGGCTCGGAAAATTTAAAGCTACTTACCACTACTTATTGGTGGAGACGGGATTTGAAACCAGGTCTCTATTCTTTCAGTCAAGACCAGCAGGAAATTAAATAGCATTCTCTGAGCCCTGGCTGGCTTGGCTCAGCGGTTGGAGCGCTGGCCTGCAGACCAAAGAGTTACAGGTTCAATTCCGGTCAAGGGGCACGTACCTCAGTTGCAGTTCAGACCCCGTCCCTGGTTGGGGTTCTGCGGGAGGCAACTAGTTGATGTGTCTTTCTCACGTCGATGTTTCTCTCTCTTTCCCTCTCTCTCTCTCTCCTCCTCCCTCTCACCCTCCCTCCCACTCTATCTGAAGATAAATGTGAAAAAAATATATATCCTTGGGTGAAGATTAAATAGCATTCTCTGAAAAATGGCTATACTCAGCAGAAATAGCCCTCTATGCTGTTGTGAGGCAAAACTTCCTAAAGAGAGTTTGTCTGTGAGACAATCATCTCCTCTTTCCTGGAGATCCCACAGAACTAGAAACCTTTCCACAACTCATGCATTTCTCTCTGTATGATTCCAACTTTCTTCTATTTTCCTGTGTTTAGTAAACACTACTAGGTTCTAGGGAACATCCTTTAATTTAATGCACAACAATCTCTGCAGTAACCGTTATCTCTGCTTTACAGACTCTGTAGCAATAAAAATAAGCCATTTGCCTAACATTTCAGAGCTGCTGAAAGGCAGGGCTTGTATTGGGACATAGGTTGGCTGGACCCAAAAGCCCATGATGCAACTGCAACCTTGGAGTTATTATTTACTCTGTCTTAATACCACTCCTTTGGTATTTATATTTATTCTTTAGTCATATTGGAGATATATCTATCTATCTATTATCACTGACTAGCCTAAAAGTTTCTTGCAGGCAAGATATTTGTCTTATTTCCTTTGTGCTGCTCTTACTCAGATACAGAAGTTTAGAGAGATAAATATCTCCCATACTTATTTAGGCTACATAGCTTCTTTCTGCTCCTCAGATCTGATCTGCACCCTCCTCTATTCTGTTCTGTGTCCCCAGGAATCTGGCCTTCAGTAAATAGCTTATTTGATTTCTGGCTACTAGCCGGGTTAGGTGACAGGGAGCGAGAGCAAAGGACTGGAAGGAGGGAGGAGAGCAGGGCCAGCTCCATGGATGTGTGACCTGTATTGTCACACAGGGTCTCGCGCTTCCAAGGGTGTTATACTTGTCTTAATGGTCTCAATGTTCTGCTGTCACTGTCCTGAAATCCTCAGTGTTTTTTAAGCTAGAATTTTTCAAAAGTTTTCATTTTGCACTGGGTCCCGAATTATGTAGCCAATCCCAGAGTGAGTTTGGAATGCCAAGGTCACAGCTCTGTACCCTCTCCACACAGCTCTCTCCCCTCACTGCACCAGGTCCAGGGGGACCAGGGAGCCTCTGCTGTTACTCACCTTACAGCCCGTCACCTTGGTTCCCTGCACCATGCTCACACCTCGGTTAATCATCTCTTCCCCTGACTTGAGTGTGCTGTCACTTTTCTGCAGAACCCCTGATAACAGAGAAAATGCATCATTCTTTTATATATTCAGTAAGTACTTACTATAAGTACTTACACTTGATAAAAGTCAAGCACTGTTCCAGGGGCTGGAGATACAGCAGAGAAAATAAAACAAACACGACAATTCTTCTGCTCTGTAGGTGTTTACATGCTGGGACAAAACGGAAGGAGGCAAAATATACATACATACTTACATACATACACACATACATACATACGTAAGTGCTATCAAGGACATGAAGCGGGAGAAGGGCTAGCGTGTACTGGGGCAGTGCTCATCGGCAGGCCGTCAGGCGGGGTGAGATCCTGCCAGGTGAGCAGCAAAGCTGCGGAGCTGTTTGAGGGGAGCTCACAGGCAGAGAACAGCAAGGGCACATCCCTCAGTGGCATACTTGTTTTGTCACAGAAACATCAAGAAAGCCCTGTGGCCGGGCTTTCCTCCCAGGAGCACCCCCCCACCCCACCTTCTTCCCAGGCAGGTCACCTTGCTCTCCTAAACTCTGAGGGCCCTTCTTTTGCTTCTATAACTTTCTAAATAAACTTTCTCTTACAGAGAAAGAGAGGGAAAGAGAGAGAGAAAGGAAGGAAGGGAGGGAGGGAGGGAGGGAAGGAGGGAGGGAGGGAGGGAGGGAGGAAGTCCTGTGGCTGCAGCAAGGGTGCAAGAGGGAGAATGGAGGTGGGGGGCACGCAAGGGACATGTTACTCTAAGATGCATCATGGATTTTGACGTTATAGCCTCAGGACGTCACCAAAAGGTTTACAAAGAAGAGTGACACCGTGCTGGAGCGGCTCAGTTGGTTTGGCGTTGTCCTGTGCACCTAAAGGTTGTGGGTTTGATTCCCAATCAGAGCACAGACCTGGGTTGTGACTTATACTTATTAATGAAATGTGAGCACTGCAGAGTAGACTCTGGATTTCTTTCCAAACAAATCAAACAACAAAAAAGAATCTATGAGATGATTGGGGAAATTTAGAAACTGACTGAGTATGCAGTGGATGATATTAAGGAATTGCTGTCAATTTTTTACATATTATATTGATATTCTTATGTTTCCAGAAAATAGTCTATCATTTAGAGACATGAGGATATAAGCTACAGATGAATATTGGTCAAATTATTGAAGCTGATGATAGTTGCATTTGCGTTTGTTCCAATTTTGTTTAGGTGTAAAATTTTCCATAATAAAATTTTAAATTACATTAAACTGTATTTTAGCTATAATAAATTATATTTTAGATATATAAACTGTATTTTCCACTGTGGTATTTGTAAGGAAGGAAAACATTTTCTTCAACTCTCTTAGGGTCGCTGAGTCTGAAAATTAAACTGACAAAGACATTATTATCGGGAGAATAACAGGCAAACTTTATTGAATTTTCACATGTGCATGGGAGCCTTCCCAAGAGAACGAAGACCCGAAGAAGTGACCAGAGCAGAAAGTTTTCATACCTTTTAGACAAAGAAACAATACACTTATGAAGAACCGACAGAGGAGTTTGGGCTGGGGTAGTGCAGCTGGAGCTAAGTCACCTTTGTCTAAGAAGATAAGGGTTAATGTAACAAAGTTGATGGGGGTGATAAACTCAATACAATATACGGATGATGTATCATACAATTGCATACCCGAAACCTATATAATTTATTAACCAACGTCACCCCAATAAATTTAATTTTAGCTCTGGCCAGTTTGGCTCAGCAGTTAGAGCGTCAGCCCTTGGACCAATGAGTCTGAGTTCAATTCTGGCCAAGGGCACGTACCTCGGTTGTGGTTTGGCCCCAGCCCTGGTCGGGGTCATGCGGGAGGCGACCAGTCGATGTTTCTGTCTCTCTTCCTTTCTCTCCCTCTCTCTCCCTCCTACTCTATTCTGAAGGTAAATAGAAAAATATCCTCAGGTGAGGATTAAAAAAAAAAACCCACAAGGTTGGTGAGCAGATTCTTCGAGGGCCCTGTCTGGACTGGTAAGAGTTTGTCTCCAGTAACAGGAGAATTTATTTCCTGCCTTTAAGCAGAAAAGGAGGCCCTTTTCCTGCATGTACTGCTTCTTAATTGCCTTCAACTTAAAATAATTTTTATGTCAAAGATGCATATTTGGGGGTGACATTCTGGCTTCCTTCAATATATTTCAGTTCTTATATGGGAATACAATAAAGTTAAACTAAATTGAAACTGAAAAGGTATTTTTCTACTGAGATTAGCTCCAATCTGAAGGTTAGATAGTTTGAATTCTTTAAAGAAATACTCTTGCAACATTTTCATGCACAGAATTTTACAGATATTAAAAATAGAAAGTCCTTTTATTTTATTATTTACTTATTTATTATTGTTGAAAGTATTAGAGATGTCTCCCTTTCTCCCCCTAGAAAGTCCTTTTTAAAAAAGGTAATGTTCAGACTTCTGGTCAAGTTGGCGGGTAGGTAAACGCAGTATCGAGTCCTCCCACAACCACATCAAAGTTACAACTAAACTACAGAACAACCATCATTCAAAACTGCCTGAAATCAAGCTGAATGGAAGTCCTACAACTACGGAATTAAAGCAGCAGCCACATCCAGACTGATAGGAGGGGCAGAGGCAGGAGGGGCAGAGGCGCGAGGGGCGGAGGCCGACAGGCTGTCCCACACCCACGTGTGGTGGATAAAAATCAGGAGGACACCTCAGCTGGGAAGGTCCTTCCTGAGGACTGAGGGGTCCCTGCCCCACACCAGGTGCCCCGTTCAGGGTTCCAGTGCCAGGAAGAGAATCCCCATAACTTCTGGCTGGAAAAACCAGCAGGAGCTGAGGCTCAGGGAGGCTGAGGCGGGTGGAGCCCCAGGCAGCTCCTTAAAGGGCCCGCACATGGACTTATCGGACTTTCTCCCTCTAAGCTTGGAGGGGAGGCAGCCAAAGAAGCACCAGAGACATACAGGGAAGAACTGAGCTGTTTGGCACTGGAGCGAGGGCTGAAGAGGGGGCTTTCTCTGGGACAAACGTGCTGTCAGAGGCCTTTGTTCCTTTGGTGAGCCCTTCCCTGGGGCGGCAGACAGTCACCTGGCTCACACTGGTAGCCCTGCCCTGTTGATTCCCTGAGGCCCCGCCCTGCCCCACCCAACTTTCACGCCAACCCAAGCTGTTGCCACTTGCTTAACCATAGAATTGCCTGTCTTAGATCTTGCTTCAGGTTTTCCTAAATTCTTGAAAACAAGCAGCATCTGGTCTCAGCTAGCCCCATACCTCTCGTTAAGTAATACACAGAAACAAACACAGAGGGGCAGCCAAAATGAGGAGACAAAGAAACAGGTCCCAAATGAAAGAACAGAACAAAACCCCAAGAAAAAAACTAAGCGAAATGGAGATAAGCAACCTAATAGATGCTGAGTTCAAAATACTGCTTATAAGGATTCTCAATGAACTTAGTGAGAACCTCAGTGAACTTAGTGAGGGCCTCAAGAGCATAAAAAAGGACCAGTCAGAAATGATGGATGCACAGTCAGAAATAAAGGAGGCATTAACTGAAATAAAGAATAATTTACACAGATTCAATAGTAGAGAAGGTAAAGCCAAGAAGCAAACCATCAATTTGGAATATAAGGAAGCAAAAAATGCCCAATCAGAACAGCAAAAAGAAAAAAGAATCCAAAAATATGAGGATAGTGTAAGGAGCCTCTGGGATAACTTCAAGCTTGCCAACATTCGCATCTTGGGGGTGCCAGAAGGAGAAGAGAGAGAACAAGAAATTGAAAACCTGTTTGAAACAATAATGGCAGAAAACTTTCCTAACTTGGTGAAGGAAACAGAACCACAAGTCCAGGAACCACAGAGAGTCCCAAACAAGATGAACCCCAAGAGGCCCACACCAAGACACATCATCATCAAAATGCAAAAGGTTCAAGACAAAGAGAGAATCTTAAAAGCAGCAAGAGAAAAGCAGTTAGTTACCTACAAGGGAGTTCCCATAAGGCTGTCAGCTAATTTCTCAAAAGAAACTTTGCAGGCCAGAAGGGAGTGGCAAGAAATATTCAGAGTGATGAAAAGCAACAACCTACAACCAAGATTAGTCTATCCTGCAAAGCTGTCATTTAGAATCAATGGCCATATAAAGAGTTTCCCAGACAAGAAAAAGTTAAAGGAGTTCATCACCACCAAACCATTATTATATGAAATGATGAGGGGTCTTTTTGAAGAAAAAGATAAAATATATGAACAAACAAAATGGCAATGAATACATATCTATCAACAATGGAATCTACAAACAAAATGAACAGGTAGAACAGAAACATTCTCATAGATACAGAGAACATTTTGTTGGTTGCCAGAGTGGTTTGGGGGAATGGGTGAAAAAGGTGAAGGGATTAAGAAGCACAAATTTACTGCTAGACTGACAAACCTCAAAGGGAAAGGAGTTGAGGGGTGGGAAGAAATAAACCAAAGAACTTCTATGCATAACCAATGGACACAGACATCAGTGTGGGAAAAGGTGGGAGGGGGGCGGGAGGGGAGTGGAGGGGGGTGGAGGGGGTCAATGGGGGAAAATGAGGAACATCTGTAATACATTCTACATTCAACAATAAAGATTTAAAAAAAAAAAAAAAAAAAAAGGTAATGTTCAGCCATGGCCAATTGTTCAGTGGTTAGACCGTTGGCCCGCAGACCAATGAGTCTCGGGTTCGATTCCCATCAAGAGCACATGCCTCAGTTGTGGTTCATCCCCGGCTCTGCTTGAGGTCGTGCAGGAGACAACCATTCAATGTGTCCCTCTCACGTTGATGTGTCCTTTCTCTCTCTCTCTCCCCCTCCCACTCTATCTGAAGATAAATAGAAAAATATCCTCAGGTGAGGATGGGAAAAAAAAAAAGGTAATGTTTATTGAGTGCTTAACAAGTGTCAGGTTATTTCAAAATTATATGATATTAGGTCTGATTATAGATTCCTTGGATGGCCAGACACAGCACAGGGACACTTGGGTGAAAGGCAGAACTTTTTGTTGTAGCTCCAAACTAGAGGAGGCTGCCACGAAGGGCCACACAGCGGTTTGCACCTGGGACAGGTGAGCAAGCTGGGCTGTGAGGGCAGTTCTGTAGCAAGCGAGGTGGGGTTAGGTAGGTTTTGTGACTTCCTAGAGATTGGATATTTTGAATAATTCTGCAGGCCCAAGAAAGAAGAGGCCATCCCTAACTGATTGGTATCTGGGGCCTCAGGCAGCTGGGCATTGGACTGTAACCCAGGGGTGGCAGAGCCTGACAGGAGGTAATCAGGGCTGGGTTTTAGCAAACTGCCTGCAAGAGGAATGAACCGCATTTAGCCCTGACTTCAAAATTAGATCAAGAGAGCACTTGTGAAATATCTCACACAGGTATTGTCAGATCACTTAAGTCTATTAACACGTGGTACTTACAACACACCTGTAGCGTGGGCACTAACATTATCACTCCCATGCTGGAAACAAAGGTCCGGAAATATCAAGTCACTCTCCTACTGGTGACAAAGTGAAGGTTTAAAACCATATGGCTTGGTTCGAGAAATCAAATATCTTAACCACTGTGTTTCACCTGATTGAGGCAGGTAAGGAGGGAAGTAAAAATGTGTTATGTCCTAGGCTGTCAGATCCCAGGGTCAGCCAGAGGTGAGGCCTGGAGAGCACCATGGGTCAAAAGGCAAACCTGCTGCCTTAAGAGCATCAGAATTTCTCTGCGTGTTTGAGAGGAAGAGTCTTGGTGATCACAGGGCAAGTTTGCTGCTTTGCTTAGCCTATTGTTTGTTTGGAAAGGCTTGGTGGAGTCCCTTTTCTGGAGCATAGGCATTAAAGTCATTCTCCTGGTGAAGCCATTGCATGTCCATCTGCTGGATGATCTGTCTATCTGTCTGCTGTTGGATAATCCACCTACACTGAAATTCAATCCCATACACCCAGATACCTCACTGTTTAGGTCTACCCTGGGGGAAAACAAAATTCATTTAAGATTTACTCTCAATTTCAAGATCTTTAAGGAGAGTACACACACATCAAACATGCATGAAATAGATACAAATGGCCAGAATTGGTGGTATAAATAATAATTGCAAGAATAATTCGAGTAATGCCCTGGCCGGTTTGTCCCAGTGGTTAGAGCATCAGCATACGGACAAAAGAGTTGTAGGTTCGATTCCGACCAAAGGCATGTACCTCGGTTTCAGGTCATCCCTGGCAACCCGTTGATGTGTCCCTTTCACATAGATGTTTCTCTCTCAGTCTCTTCCTCCCTCCCACTCTACCTGAAGATAAAATAGAAAAATATCCTCAGATGAGAATTTTTTTTAAAAAGAAGAATTCAGGTAAGGAACTGTCAACATCGATTAAAGCAGCTTCAGGGTAGGGCTCATTCTTCTTTGAACCTCACAGAGCTCACATTTGGCATGTTGCACTTAGTATTATTGTCTTGCACCGTAGTGATTTGTGTACTTACCTAAATCCAGATATTGAGTTCTTCCACCAGGCAGTTACCACTAATTTTCCAGTTGATCTACAGTTTCTAGCATAAGGACTTATTTTTTACTAAGCCCTCCAAAGTGCCTCTTGAACTTATATAATTTGAGGCTAGAGCTGAGCCTTCAATGATAGATTGGTTTGCAAAAAGAAGAGAGGCCCTGGCTGGTTTAGCTCAGTGGTTAGACTGCCTGTCAGCCTGTGGACTGAAGGGTTTCAGGTTCAATTCCCAGTCAAGGGCACGTGCCCTGGTCCGGGTCGGGGTTGTGTGGGAGGCAACCAATCGATGTGTCTCTCTCAATCAATATTTCTCTCTCTCTCTCCCTCCCTCCCTTCTACTCTAAAATAATCAATGGAAAAATATCCTCGGGTAAGGATAAACAAAAACAAAAAAAGAGAGAAAGGGAGAAAAGAGGAAGAGAGGAAAAGAAAAATTTAGAACAACAACCTCATCAAACAACGGAAAGTAAAGGCAAGCTATTTCAGACCCAGTAGTAGGCCAGCAGAGGGTTTGCCCAGGAGAGATAAAATGACATAGAAAGGCACCAAGAGTCATATTGTGAAGTTAAGCTATGAAATATGAACTTTCTCATATAGGTTGGTGGCTTTCAATCGTGCAGTCTAGAGGGATGCCTTTTTTCTTTTGGACTGAACCTGGTGGTTCTTATTATGTTTGCAAGACACCCTTAGACAATAACTACTAGGAAGCGTTGAAGAAGAAAAAAGAAATTATTACTTATAGCTCCTGGAGTTTACAAAGCATGCCAGGGGCACATTGCCAAGATAACCTAGCCAGGTTATGGGGGGAGGGGGGGAGGGGGAGAAACTAGAGACTGACTGAGAGAGAGATAAACATAGACACAGCGATAGAGATCGAGATAAAGAGAAAGCCAGGCTAGGAGGAATTTGAATCTTCTGGGAAGGTTGTTAAAATCCCAGCCCAAAGAAGATCAGATTGACAGTAAGGCATTAAGCAACGATGAGTATTTTGAAAGTTCTTCCTGCATGATTTATACACCCAACTGTGGCTTTTGGCAATGGAGAGGCTTTGAAAAAAAAAATGTGTAACAACAACGACAAAAATGACATAAACGGAACTGTTAATGAAAGTGTTTCTCCAAAGTGAAAAAGCTTGATCTGAAATAAACTTTGTGTTGTGAAGTGTTCTATGGATATTTTAAAATAAAAATAAAATTTTTAAATTAGAAAATTACTATATTCTTGTCATAGAAATTTTGGGGAAAATATCCCATAACACAGAGATATCCATTATAATATGCTCACATAATTCTTTCCCTTCCTTCCCCCAGCCTTACTGAAAAATTGTATCCATTTGGATACATAACAATGTGTATACAAACATACATGCAGTTAAGCAAATTCGGTTATAATACAACAGGCAATTGATACCCACCTTCCACTCAGCCACCATTTTTATTTCATTAACCTAGCAAAAGTGTGTCTCATGTTAAACTATTTCATTTTTGGACTCTGCTCATAGCATTATGGTGGGATTTTACCAAACGTATTTATTTTTTTGTAACCGGTTCCATGCTATTTGGCCCTCCCTGCAGGCTTTACATAGTGGAAACTATGCTGACCTGGAAAATAGGCTTCTCCTACCCCACTCCATAGCTTGGCTGACATCTGGCATCAGAACAACGCTCTAATGGCCCCAAGTCTCGCACACTCCTTGAAATCTGCTTCTTTCTTCTGCCTCTGCCTGAAGGCTCCTTCTTTTCCAAGAGCTCAAACAAGGGGAACAAAGCAGGCAAGTCATATAAGAGACATCATGCTTTTCTCTCCATCCCTTCCTCCTTCTCCCCATCCACTCTGCTTGCCCCCAAGTGCCCACATACAAATCTACTTCTCCAGTTCCCTTTCTCAGTACACACCAACTCAGGTAGATTGATTGATGCATATGGACTCATCAGACACATCCAAACATAAATCCTAGTTTAATTCAGCGAAAGATCCCACACTACCTAAGCCCAGGTAATAGGATCAGTCCGCTACAAGATGATCAATAAGAGATGGGCTTCATGATTATTTGTTTTTCATAGCCAATTTTTGAAAAACATGACTCATTATTATTAAAGAGAAGTTGTCAGGGCCCTGGCAGGGTAGCTCAGTTGGTTGGAACATTGTCCTGATACACCAAGTTTGCTGATTAGATACTTCAGGGCACATACAAGAAGCAACTAATGAATCATAAATAAGAGAAACAACAAATCAATGTTTCTCTCTCTTTCTCCAACCCCCTCTAAAATTATTATTATTTTTTTTTAAAGAGGAGTTGTCAGGATGTAGAAAATCATTGCTCAATTTATTTGGCAATGACAATGGCCACTGTGCTTTTTATGCAACTGCTTCTGTTATGTAATTCTTGTTGACACAGTGTTTCAACCATGTAACTTGACTGTAAATGCTGAGTAGAAGAGCACCTGGAAGTGCTTCAGGTGGTCATCAACCACCAAAGGAACCAATTTGCAATGTGCTGTGAAGAACTCAGCTTGAGAAATGCACCTTGTGTCACAGGCGAGAAGAGGAAGCAGGCAGAAAACACAGTCCTGCTGGTGGCAGCACCGAGGGCAAGCTGCCCCCTAGGTTGCAGAATCTCCTAAGAATAGAGAACCAACTGGATTCTTGAATTTGAGTTTCTGAATTTATTAAACTGTGTGAGAGATTCTCCTCTACATTTTTACATCACGACTTCCCTCTTCTTCAGGCTTTAACTTGGACTTATCACTCAGTCAGATAAAATATATCAAAGTAATTATTTTATTTTTTATATGTTTTTATGGATTTTTTTTTTAGAGAGAGAGGAAGGAAGGGAGAGATAGAAACATCAATGTGAGAGAAACACATCAATCTGCTGCCTCCTGTACACCCCACACTGGGAGTCGATCCTGAAACCCAGGTATGTGCCCTGAACGGGAATCTAACCAGGACCTCTCAGTCCATGAGACGACACTCAATCCACTGAGCCACACTGGCCGGGCCAAAATAACCCTTTTAAAAGAGATTCACAGAAGTTCTATTTTCTGAGTCCTTGAAAATATGTTACCTTAACACATGAACTAAAATTAACTCTGTATAAAATGTCATGATTACAACCTTTCCCCTCAAAAAATCTGTAGCTGAATCTCCATTGGCAAAGTCAGTCTGAGTCTTAGTACTTTGCAGGCAACGTTTTCCACCCTCACACACACTTGGAATGTTCACAGTGTTTTTGTTTGTTTTCGTTGTTTTACCTTTGTACCTATTCAGGACCTACTATTTTCTTAGTAACTAGTATCTCATCACTCCTATGGGGAGACCCAACTTCGTTGAGAGAAGACTTTGTCAAGACTGAAAGGTGAAGGAAGGTTTAGGCTGCAGGGCCAGTGGACTGATGGATCTAAGCTGGAGATAAGTTGTTCCGAGAAGGAAGTGCGGCTGCCCAGAAAGGAGAGGTAGGAGGTTCCCTGAGCCTAGGTATTGGTGGCAGCGCAGAAAGGGGGTTCAGGAGATGTAAAAAGCCAGCTAGGAAGCCAATGAAAAATAGCCATTAAAAAACTACCTCTTAAAAAGAAAGTTTGCTGGAAGGATACTTGGGGTGGGGGCGGGGGGTGCCACATTTATTTTACTTCTTTCCATAGATATATTTATTTTTACCAAACCATTTGAAAGTCAGTTGTAGGTACCATAACATTTCACCACACTATGTATGTCCCCTAGAAACTAGGACATCCTTCTGCATATCCACAATACCATTTTCACACCTAACAAATTTTAAAAATATACAATACCATCTAATATACGGTCCTTATTTAATTAAATTTCTCTAAATGTTCTCCCAAAATGTATCTTTTGTAGATATCCACACATACACATACCCCATTCAGGATCCAGTTAAACATCACACATGGTTTTGGTTGTCACATTTCTTTAATTGCTTTTAAACTAGATGAGTATTTCCTTCACATTATTTCTTGGGGTGGTGAGGAGGTGGGGAAGGACATGTCTATTAAGTAACTGACATTTAAAAAATATAGATAGATAGATAGATAGATAGATAGATAGATAGATAGATAGATAGATAGATAGATAGACAGACTGTCCTGGCTGGTGGCTCAGCAGTTAGAGCGTCGGCCTGTGGACCAAAGAGTCCTGGGTTCAATTCTGACCAAGGGCATATACCTCGGTTGTGGTTAGTCCCTGGCCCTGGGTAGGGTCGTGCAGGTGGCAGCCAATCGATGTGTCTCTTTCCCATCGATGTTTTTCTCCCTCTCTCTCTCTCTCCCTCCCACTCTGTCTGAAGACAAATGTAAAAATATCCTCATGTGAGGATTAAAAAATAAATAAGCCAGTTATCTTGTAGAATGTCCAACAATCTTGATTTACCAGATTCAGGAATGGCTAAGTAATTTGTGAGGCCCGGTACAAATTGAAAATGCATGATGCTTTGTTCAGAAATTAGTGAGAATTTCAAGACAGTGAAAAGAGGCCATTAAATCAAGCATGGGTCCCTTCTAAGGGTGGAGTGTATTTGACGGCACTTGCCAAGTGTCTGGGAAGCTGGCCCTAGCCAGGTTGTATCTTCATTATTTGTTACAGGTTAAATATTTTTGCCAAAATGACCACATAGGTGATGTGTGCCTCCCATTACATCATTTCAAGAGAAACACTCAGGTTTGTTTATTTAGCTCAGGAAAGTTTTCTTGAGAGTGTTTTAATCAGTGCTTTGATTCTAATTAGTTCAATTTCATCTTTAGGAATACGTATCATTCTTCGGTTGAATTCTAGAGTCTTTTGTGTCTCCCATCTTTACCTTCCTTTCTGTTTTTATCTTCTCCCTCTATTTTTGGGAAAGCCTGGTCCATTGTCCTTCAAACTACTGGCTCCATTTTCAACAGCGTTGATTTCTACTCTACTGTATCACCTCCAATGGAAATGTTGATTTCACTGGGGCACGTTAGTGTTCTATCAACCCTTTCTTACTCTATCCATCTCCCTTTTCATCTCATGCATTTCCTCTCAACCTGGTTTTCTTTGTACACTTTCTTCTCTCAGTACACAGAGGTTGTGTCTCATAACCCATAGAAGATGCTAAACATTTTCTAAAATTTTCTTTTGGGTGCAAAAATTGGTGGTTTTTCTAAATCTGGGATTTCAAGATGATGTGTCCTTCCCCTCATTCTTAGATTTATTTATTTATTTATTTATTTATTTATTTATTTATTTATTATTTTAATCCTCATCCAAAGATATTTTTTCATTGATATTTTTAGATGGAGGGAAGAAGGGAGGGAGGAGGGGGGAGAGAGAGAGAGAGAGATCTATGTGAGAGAGACATGTCCATAGATTGCCTCCTGCGCGACCCCTGTGGGGCCAGGGATTGAACCCGAAACTGATGTACGACGTCCCCTTGACCGAGAATTGAACCCGCCACTCTTTGGTCTGCAGGTTGACACTCTAACTGCTGAGCCAAACCAGCCAGGGCTCTGCAATACTTTTCAAACACTCCCTGCTGTGCTGCTTCGTTTCTGATAACTCATCTATAGATTGAAAGGGCTAGCAGACAGTTTGTGTTTCTCAACAGAGAGCGTATTCAGATTGTTCCTGGCACTGCCTCAGAACTCGCTTCTCGGACTACAGTTGTCTGGAAGATTGATACGCACAGTTTTAACTCAGTTCCCGGTATCCAGGAGATGCTCATCTAATTTACTCAACTAGACTGAAATAGGATCTCTGCCTGGTCACCTTTCCTGGAGTTTTGACCCTGGGTTATATTTAAATGTTAGTTTCTAGCCACTTTCCAAGAATTAACTGCCTAAGATTTGTCTTCTTGTTGTCTTCATTTTAAAGTATCAGTAGCACCAGATTCATTGAATATTTATCAAGCACTTCTTATTTTCCTATGTGATGTACGATTCAGGCTTCAATCCTCTCTTATAACCCGAAGAGAGAATGGGGACATTTAATATGGGAATATTTTTCATCCGCAGTCAAGGTCGAACACCACTATGGAAGAATTGTGTTCTGCTCATTGTTTTTACTTGGCATTTGTACTGCTATCAGTAGCATGAAAGTGGATAATAAGCTACTGAGAGTGGGGGAGCCTTGGCCGATTTGGCTCAGCAGTAGAGCATCAGCCTGAGGACCAATGAGTTGCAGGTTCAATTCCAGCCAAGGGCACATACCTCAGTTGCAGTTCATCCCTGGACCTGGTTGGGGTCGTGTGGGAAGCAACCAGTTGTTGTGTTCCTCTCACATTGATGTTTCTCTCTCTCTCTCCCTTTCTGTCCCTCTTTCTCCCTCCCACTCTATCTGAAGATAAAAAGAGAAAATATCCTCAGGTGAGGATTAAAAAAAAAAAAAGAGTGGGGAAGACAGGTACATAGAGGAAGTCAGCAGCAGCTACTCCAGGATGTAGCTACTCAACACAGCAAAAAAGTAAAAAAGAAGTTTAGCCCTGGCCAGTTTGGCTCAGCAGTTAGAGTGTCGACCTGCGGTCCAGAGAGACCCGGGTTCGGTTCCCTCAAAGGGCGCGTACCTCGGTTGCAGTTTGTCCCCTGCCCTGGTTGGTTGTGTGGGTGGCAGCCACTCGATGTGTCCCTTTCACGTTGATGTCCCCCCCTTCCCCCTTTCCACTCTATCTGAACAAAAAATGGAAAAATGTCCTTGGGTGAGGATAAAAAAAAAGAGTTTAGAAAAGTTCTGAAAAAAGACCTGT